TATTGTTTTTAGAGACGGGGTCTTACTGTACATAGTTCAGGTTGGCCTGAAATTCACAGCAATTCTCCTGCCTCAGCCTCCTGAGTGCTGAGACTACAGGCATGCTCCACCACACCTGATTTGTTCATTGTATTTTTTATTTTTTATTTTTGGTATTGGGGATCAGACTCGTGACCTTGCACTTGTGTGGCAGGCACTGGAACCACTGAGCTAAATCCCCGGCCCTCATATTTTTAAAATGGTGTATCTAATTAGAAATGAGGTACAGATAAGCAGTGTATTCATATGCTTCATTTCAGCTTTAAGCACCAGAATCTGCATTCTACTTTAGTTCTTACTGACCACTTTTTAGTATTTACTTTGCTACCCTTTAAAAGGTCAGTATTGCCCTTGAGCTTGTCCTTTTTATGGAGCTAAGAGGGAGAGAGAACTCCAGGAAAATAAAAGTAAATTGTTAAGGTTCATTACTATACCTTTTCTTATTTTGAATTCTACAGAAATACTGGGAAAGACTAGTAAATATTTTAAATTACATTAGATTAAATTGGATGCAAACTTGATTGCTCATTGTCTTTGAAGCCTGCTCTGGTTGTATGTCATCCAGCAAAGCTCCAAGTGAAGAAGTGCTCCTTGTGAGAGAAGGAAAGACCTCACCCTGTCGGGTAGTCACCAAGGCTAGACGACTATGCTCTCAATCTGTAGCCCTTCTCATATCCTACTTTAACTAACTTTTCTGAAGCCTAATTCAGTTCTCCATGCAGCATCTTAGATCCTTGAATGTAGGCAGTGAAAGAGCAGCAGTTTGTCCCTGGTTTGCTGAACAGTTTTTAGTATATTTACTACTAGCTTTAAGTACTGTGTTTATATTAGGGAGACACTTAGCCACTGAACTAAGGCTTCATTCAGCAAATCTGGTTATCCTTGTCGGGTACCCTGCCATCCTCTGGGTGAGAAAGATACTGTGGTTCAAAGACACTAATGTAGTGAGTGGAGTAAATGGCATGGTCGATGACAGATGCAAGAGCATGACTAGTAAATGACCCACTCAGACTGATCAGGAGAGACTTCGTTGAAAGGAATCACTGAGCTAAGACTTGCAGGGTGAAGAGTATTCATCTAGACAAAAGGGGAAAGCGTATCCAAAGGCCCAGTCCCCAATGACTTGAGAATACTGTCTGACTCAAGTAGAAAGAGTTAAGGATTAGCAGGCTGGGGAAGGTGGTACATGAATGTAATCCCAGCTAAGTGGGAGGCTAGGAAGATCACACAATTTAGGCCAGTCTGGATAACTAAGATCCTGCCTCAAGTTTGAAAAAGGGGCTTGAGGATATATACCTCAGTGATAAAGAATGCTTGCCTAGCATGCACAAGGCCAACGAAAAAGTAAGGATTATTTAGGCTAAAGAAACAGGTAAGGGCTACTACAGTCAGCTTTATAGTTATAAGCCATGCTAAATTTTGTCTCAACAGTAGAAACTATTGCAGGCTTTAAACTGTTATTCATGGTGGGGATGGTGGGTCACCTAATAAGTTTTCCATTTAAAAGACAGAGTGTTGAAAAAATGTATGGGTCAAGAGATGTAGGAGGTAAATTTTATCGAAGTAGCCTCCTCCCTTGTGAGAAATGACTGCAGCATGAAATTCAAGGTGTGGGGTGGTAGAAGTGGATGCATTCTACAGATTTCCTGTCTCACTGGCTACTGTTCATTGTCCTCTGATGGTTTCTGCAGGCCTTGAATACAATACTTCATCTCTACTCTCCACCAGGTGATTTCATTCAGTTCCATGATTTTTAATATAGTCAGTTTCAGTCACTCCTAAGTATTTGTAGTTCCCCAGAACTCCAAACTCCTACTAAACATCTTGATTTAAAGAGTGTCATATTCCAAATCGACCTCATTAACTTACCATTGCTGCTTTCTGTTCATCCAGATGCTCAGGTCTATTAATTTGGGTCCTTAAGTCCACACGGTTCTACTATAGAAGTCTCTTGAGTCATCTAGCACTCGTGACCGCTATCAGAATCAATCTGCAACAAGTAACTACAGTAGCTTATGACAGTTCTTGTTTCTACTCTCCCTCCTGTGGTCCAGTTTCTGTACAGAGCCAGAATGAACCTTTCAGTGCAGACCAGATCATGTAATTCCTCTTCCCCAAACTGCAGTGGTTTTCGTTAACTGGAATTAAACTGTAAATGTAGTCCACATTATCCAGTATTATCCGTGTTATTTTCCTATTGGTTTCTCATTTGCTCACCGTTCCCTGGTTATAAAGCTTTTTCCCACTGTGGAACCTCTGTACATTTTCAGCACAGGCAGGTTGTATCTTTAGCCCTAAAGTTGAGGTCTACTTCAGTGTCACCACCTTTGGAGGACTTCTTGGCCCACCTTTAAAAAGTGACTCTCAGGTCTCTTTTCTGGGTACTTTTTCCTTAATACTACTTAGAACTTTAAGCTTCAGAGAGTGGCATTTTTGTTGAATGAATTTAAACACGGTTATTGCAAAGATGGGTAGTGTTGCTGAGTACGTTAAAATTGAAAGTGTCTATTTGGGAAATGAGTTTAAACGGGTAAGACGAATTGAGTTCGATATCCAAGAAGGAGTCGAAGAAGCGACTGTACATATTTGAAGTTAAGAGCGCTGGCCCCAAACAGGGTGCTAATGTTTGGGTAACTCTTGTAGTCCGGAGCTGGAGTAGCTAAAAAAGTACAACCCCAAGACTGGTTTTCTGAAGACCCTGAACATGGCCAGATACAGGTGTTAGGGGAGCTTGCGAAGTATAGCGGGTCGTCGTGAGTAGAAAGTGCACAAAATTCCCGACAAGTTCACAAGATCAGTATTGCATGTTGGAGGGTCAAGCGAGATGAATAAAACTGGTCCGTTGGCCGAATTTTCTCATATTAAAATGAGAAGTTAAATAAGGGGGTCGGTATAATGGTGCGCAAGTCTGTGGAGCCATCACCTCGAATAACGGCCAACGCAGAACCCTGGGGAAACCGTTTGTATGCCGCCCGGAACCTGTGGGGTCACCTGCCCATAGCTAGCACGGTGGTAGGCGGCTGGGGGTGCGGACAATTTGAGGCTCATCTTGCCCTGCGTAATGAGGATATCTTACTTTCGCTTTAACACGGCAAGCCGAAACACGTTGGAGGTGGCGACCTAGAGTGGTTCTGCCTCCCGGGTCTCTGACGTCATCACCCAGCGACAGCGCTCGCGAAGGTCCCCTGTCGCTCGGCACCGCAGACCCCTTAGTGGGTTCACGCGCGCGCTGTCCGCCTGCGCCTGAGCGGGCCTCGCGCGGCGGGGCGGGGTGAACGCGGGAGCCGGCGGCCAGGCGTTCGCTTTGGGCAGCCTGGTTCTCCTTCCTGTAGAGTTCTGAGGGCCCACGTGCTTCCGCTTAGCCGCTGGTCCGGATCCGCCTGCCGCCAGCCACAGGTATCCATTGCGGACGTGCCGGGGACGCGAGCTGAGGGTGGCCCCGTGTCCCTCCTGGGCCGGGAGTGGGGCTGGCCTGGGGACGAAGGCTCTGCCTCCGGGGCGCTGCCCTGCCTGCGCCCACTGCGTCCTCTCTGGGCAGAGCCTCCCCTTCCCTGAGAATCTGCCACTCTGGGAGGTGCTTCTTGAGGTCTTTCGGGTGTCAAGTAGCTCCGTCTCCACCTTCCAGGGACCTGTGGCTGGGAGGGTCGTGGAAATTGGATGGGTGACAGCGTTTGCTTTCCGCGGAGCTGGCCCAGGGTACCAGGTTACAGTGCTAGGCTTTGAACAGAGGCAATCTGATCCTAGATCCTCTAGCGCTTTTTTTTTCCTTTAGGTTGATGTATGTTTGCGATATGTGATAATTACATTCCTTTTAGGATATATGTATAATCTTGTTTTAGATACCTTTCCCTCCCCTTTCTCAAGAAAATATTTTTTTTTTCTTTTTTGCAGTACTTGAACCCAGGGCCTGGGGCATGCTAGGCAATTCCTCTATCCCTGAGCTACATCCATGGCCTCTTCTTGGCACTCTTAAGTAATTCACTGTGCACATTCATTTATATTCTTTGTTCTGCAGTCACATTTAGAACTTTATTTAGTTTGACAGTGTACCTAATGGTGCCTAGCACTAGGTGCTGTGCTTAGATAGACGAATAAATAAGTGAATAAAAAATAAGCACCTTAAAAAAATAAGCGTTTTTCTTTTCTATTAAGTCTCAAATTGGGCCTTCCATAGCAACTCAGTCTGCGGTAATCTCAGGCCTTAATGAGACCTCTTACCATGGCTATTATTTTTACAACTAGTTTTATCTTTGTGGAGTTGTTCCTTGCCTCTTTCCTTTAATTTCTCCCTTAAAGGAGAATGAAAACTTAAAGTCAAGGGCCTTATCTAGTACTTCTGGGCTCCCACAGTAACTAGAACAAAAAGCAATCCCCAGTGATTATTGATTGATTTTTGCGGGGCAGGTGTGTCTAGCAACATAGGCCCTATGAGCTGAGCTGGTTGGCAAACTGGAAAGAGCCCAGGCTTTGGAGTCAGGTATATGTGAGTGTGAATCCTGTGTCTTGTCACTTTTCTGCCATGGGATACTTTAGCTCTTTATATTACTTGTCCCTTACTTATAAATAGGGGCCATTGATTATGATTGTTTTATAGAAAAGTATGCTTGGGAAGTTGTTTTTTTTTTTTTTTAACCAGGGATTGAACTCAAGGGTCCTTGCGCTTGCACAGCAGGTGGCCAAATCACTGAGCTAAATGCCGGGCCCAATGCTTGGGAAGTTAAACAGGACAGTTAAGGCATAGTTGGAGTTCAGTTGGGTTTATGTTAAGAATGCATGACACACTGGGGTTTCTGAGTAGCATAGCATGCCACATTGTGCTAATTAATAATTGATAATTCTGAATTTAGGGGTGTATTTATTATGGCTGTGGTGCAGTATTTTATCATACGTAAAATAACTTCTTTTGGTGGGAGTGCTTGCACATGCTAGGCAAGTGCTGTGTCACTGAGCTACACTGCAGCTCATCTAACAATGCTTGAACTTTGTACAAAGGCTTCAGTAGTTTTTGCTCACTTGAGAAAACATATTTCAACATAAGAACATTTGTTGATTTCTTTTCCTGACTTAGTAAAGCATGAATTAAAAACCAAAGGAACACAATAAAAGTCATACCACTCAAAAATAACTTTATTACTTGGTCTTTTCTTCCAATCTTTTAAAAAAATCTCTTATGTATATGCATTTAAAATGGTATCATACTTTATCCTGCCATGATACTCTATATAAGCACTAATATCCATGTCTTTATTTTTTTTTTTGAGGGAGCCAAAATCTGTGTTTAATGCTTTTTATTTTGGTACTGGGGATTAAACTCAGGACCTTGTGCTTATAAGGCAGGTGGTGGCACCACTGAGCTAAATCTCCAGCCCTGTGTTTCATGTTTTGTTTTTTTTTTTAATTAACTTTATTGGTACATTTAGGTATACAATATAATGACATTCATCATTGGGAATGTGCACCTTTACATAATCTCTCCTGGTTCTTATTTTTTCCCCATTCCCTTGCCCTCCCTTCAACCCCTCCATCCCTCCCCATTTACAGAGATGTGTGTAATGTTTTAACAAGCTTTTCAAATGATTATTTTTTTAAAGCAGCAGTATTTTTTTATTTTTTGAAAAAATAAAATTTCATAACAAAAGAGAATAACAATAATTAATACATTGTGTATTGTTATCTTCAAAGTAGTTACTCAGAGTACAAGACATAAATAGAAAAGATTCTTACATAAAAAGCAGATAATAGAACTTTCTTTTCAGTGAACTAAGATAAACTAGTATAAATGAAACAAATTAGCATATATTAGATGTTTTTGAAACAACAGAATATGTAATTTGGGGAAGTATTTGAACTTCTATTTCCTATTAATGTCTTCTATTTTGCTCCATATTTGTGTGTGTGTGTGTGTGTGTGTGTGTGTGTGTGTGTGTATAAGAAAAACCATGCAATGTTACATTATGTTTTTAAGTTATATCCACGTACTCATGAAAGCTTCAGGTTTATCTTTATGACAGTGTAGTACTCCACTGTGTGTAAATACCACAGTTTCCATATTCATACATCTGTTAATGGACATATACACTGTTTCCAAGATCTAGCTATTATAAATTGTGAGGCTGTAAACATGGGTGTGCATATATCCCTTTAATGTATCTTTTGGGAAGATACCTAGGTGAAGGATAGCTGGTTCAAATGGAATCTCTGTTTTTAGTTTTCTGAGGAATCACCACACTGATTTCCATAGTGATTGTACTCATTTACATTCCCACCAACAATATAGAAAAGTTCCTTTTTCCCCATATCCTCACCAGCATTTGTTATTAGTAGGTATTTTTTATGATAGCCATTCTTTCTTGGGTAAGGTGGTATCTCATTGTAGTTTTAATTTGCATTTCTCTGATTCTGATGCATGCTAAATCTTCAGAACCAGTGGCCCAAAGTCATAATTTTTGTAGGATTACAAAATGGTGACTATATAATATCATTATTTGTCTTCTGCATTTGTTAAATTGAATTCCTGTTTCAAAGTAACAAGACTCCATGGATCACCAGTACTGGTAAATAAGGTTCCTTTTAGTGAGAAATGGGATTGTATTGAGAGCTCACAGTCTGTGATGCAAGTGTATTCACTGTTTCCAGGTCTCTTTAGTGGAGAGAGCTTAGAAATACTGTGCTTTCTATAAAATGTGGTGGGCCATTCACCGTGTATAATCCTTCTGATCCTTGGACTGTCAAGAGTGGCGTGAACAGCACCATCTTGTCCCAGAAAAAGAAACCCATGCGTGGGGTGAAAGTTCAACAAGGACTAAACCTGGCCCCTACCTATCCATATCTATCTATCTTTCTCTCTCTCTCTCTCTTTCTCTTTCTTTCTTTCCTTCCTTTCATTTTGGTGCCGGGGATCAAACTCGGGACCTTGCACTTGCGAGGAAGGCGGTGGAACCTCTGAGCTAATCCCTGGCCCAAAATTTTTTTTTTTTTGGTACTGGGGATCGAACTTGGGTCTTTGTGCTTGCATAGCAGGCGGGGAAACCATTGAGCTAAATCCCCGGCCCTCCATATCTTTAGATAGTCGTCTTTACCTTCTAATCCTGAGTTTTCTGATTTTAAAATTGAGGCTGACGTCTTCCCAATGGTGCTGGTTGAGGGTTGAATAAGATGTTACTTAAAGTATGCCCAGCATAACCCCTTCCCTCAGAAGAGGCAGCCCGCTAGTGCTCCTTACTCAGAATCTGGTGTTTTGTCCATTTGACATTTTTTTTTTGGTTCCAGGGATTGAACTCAGGACCTTGGGCTTATCAGGCAGGCGTGGTGCCACTGAGCTAAATCCCTGGCCCTCCAGTTGTACTTCCTTTCTTTCTCTTTTAGTGATAGTCTGTCACCATGCTTCGGAAGAAGGTGGATAACCGAATCCGGATTCTCATTGAGAATGGGGTAGCTGAGCGGCAAAGGTCTCTTTTTGTTGTGGTTGGGGATCGAGGAAAAGATCAGGTAAGGCCTGGGAAATGCTTCCTGAGTTACTTTGTCTTCTGTCCTGGAGAGTCAACCTGTTATAGACCCTGCACATTATGGTGTTAGGCTCATTTGGCTGGTAAGATGCCTAGTGAGAACCTTTTGTCATTTCCTAGAAGTGGTAAATTCTCTGGATTTAGATTCATTAGCAGACAAGCCAATACCTTTTGAACCCTAGGGGTGGTAGATTGACCATAAGGTTAAATGTACGTGATCTAGCATCGAGTCCCCATCTGGCATGTGACCATTGGTGCCTTCCTTCTCTAGCCATCAGTTTAATTTCTACGTTTGTCAGATGAGGTCTTGGGTCTGGTCTCTTGGCCCTGAGGTCCTGTGCCTTTTTTCTTTGGCAGGTGGTAATACTCCATCACATGCTGTCCAAAGCAACTGTGAAGGCGCGACCTTCTGTGCTGTGGTGTTACAAGAAAGAGCTGGGGTTTAGCAGGTAAGCTTGGCCCTTGGGTATCCCATCCTGCTTCAGTTCTCGCTTTGTTAGTTAAATGACAACAAACAATTCCTTGACATAGTTTTTCAGGGAGTGATGATGTCATTTCTGAGGACGTTTTAAAGTGGAAGAAAATGAAACTGACTGCTATCCTTTCTTTAGTCTTGACAGTAAGCATTAAATATTTACTTACTCCCTATGAGTTGGAGGCCAGTCTGAGCTTTCTACTGAGTTCCAGGACAGCCTGGAATACATAGCAAGACTTTTGTCTCAAAGTAAATAAAAAACCAGAGGAAACAGTGGAGATTACCTTACCCAGCTGCCTTGGTTCATAGAAGTAAAGGCCTATGGGGGAAGGGCCTTGGTTCTAGCTATTAAGTTAGAAGACTGGCAAAATTCTCCCCATCCTAGAGCTCTCCTGTTTTCTGTTTCTGAAAAAAGTAGCAATTGGATGTTCAGGGCTTATAAAACCAAAAATAGTTCTGGGATTTCTGAGCGCTACCTCCCTTTCATTTCAGTCTTTGTGTCCTATATCGTAGTTGTCTTAGATAAATGCTGTCCTTAAGGACATGGTCCCATACTCTGGAAAAGGAAGTGGATGAGGCCATGTAGGAAGCATGAATTCAGCACCCTGTCAGCATTCTGTCTTTCCCATGTCCTCTGGGGAGCAGCAGCACAGTGTAGTTGAAGCACTGACTGAGAAGGTAACTCAGGCTTCTAGGTTTGTTTGCAAGCTCTGGCTTTGGTCAAATATGAGGCTTAGCGCCTCCCACTAACCATGTTTTAAAGTGAAGTGTCTCTTCAGGGTCACAGAGCAAAGTGAGAATTATTCACACACAGAGTTACCCCTGTCTCACTCTAAAACCCATCTTCATAACCACTGTAGCCTAACACCTCTCCACTTTCCTTCCCCTCTAAAGTGGGGAGCCAGCCGCCTGCTTTCCAAGTTCCCTAGCTGCTCTTCAGGTCTGAGGGGATGATCAGTGAGCCTCTCTAGTTAACTGGCTCTCATTGCATGGGGGGTGATTGCAGTCACCGAAAGAAGAGAATGCGACAGCTGCAGAAGAAAATAAAGAATGGGACCTTGAACATAAAGCAAGATGACCCCTTTGAACTCTTCGTAGCAGCCACAAACATTCGCTACTGCTACTACAACGAGACCCACAAGATCCTGGGCAATACCTTCGGCATGTGTGTGCTCCAGGTGGGTGACTTCCTCCAGCCTGTGCTTTAAGGAGTGTTTGGGCTCCCTGCTTCTCCACCACGAGTGGTTTGCGGGAAGGAGGAAAGATACACAGAACTCCCTGCCCCTAATTATTATTAGGGAAGACTTGGTCACTTTGCAAAGGAAACTGGATTACTTGACTAAATAAAAGAATTTTCTGCTTACGTTAATACTTGTCTAGAAATACAGCACATAAAGGGATGCACCAGCAAAGCTGCTCTAAGCAGTTAAAGCTGGGACAACAAGCACTGGGAATCCTGGAACCCAGGTTCTTACTGACAGAAGACTTTCCTCTGGTCCCTGAGCAGGGTGACTTGTTTAATCAGCAGGTTATGGAGCAGTGTATCCACTGTGTCCCCTCCAGAGTGCTGGAGTAGCAAAACCCCATGAGCCTCCACTTTTTCTAGCCCTTAGAAACTCTTTACTTCCTCCTCAGAGAAGTCCTTGGTGAATTTCACCATTGCTGTGTATTCTCTTGCCAGGAAAACTACTAAAGTTTTTCTTTGTTTACATCAGTTCTGGTGGTCCTTGATTTTTTTGATATATATGACACACCTCACCCCCAAAAGAAAAAAAAGCCAACAGTTTATGCACAGATTTACACATTTCTAAATATATTTATTATATTAACATACTATGACCATGATTATGTAACTTATAAAACATCTCACAAAATACAAATGAAGAAATAGAGGAAGTCAAGATAGAAGCTCTCACTTTTTCTTTCTGCATTCCAGTGGGTTCTCTCATACTCAGCTGACTTGCATCCCATCTTGGAGACCAGAGAAGAGAATATTTTGCTTATTCTCCATCTTTGAGGGGGACCCTTGGCTTGGTCACTCTTTGGCGGAGTGTGTTCTGTCCATAGCTGTCACCAGCTGCTAGGAACCGTGGCTCCTTATAGCAGTGCTCCCCCTTGTGGCGCAGTTGGGTCTTCTCAGGTTCCACCTAAGAAAAGGAGTTGCTTCTGAAATCCAAGTGTGATTTAATAATAAAATCCAAATAGGATTTTATTGGGGAGTATCAGAAACATTTTTAACATATAAAGCCAGGTCTACCTACACGTTAAGGGCTGGGCTTTCTTCTGTGGCACCCCTAAGAAAGGGGCAGAGAGAGAAGATTGTGCGTGTCTGTCTGCGCACGCTTGCATTTCCTGGTAAGTCCGGTCAGGGGTGTGGTTTTGGGTTTGTGCTTTAAGGCCTAAGGCCTTCTCTTGCTCTCCCCCTACCACCTTTTTTTTTTCCCAGTATCGGGGATCGAACTCAGTGCCTTGTGCCTGCGAGGCAGGTGCGGTGCCACTGAGCCAAATCCCTGTCCCTCTTTCTCCCTTTTTATTTTTGGTTTTGAGAGAGTCTCACTCTGTAGCCTAGACTGGCCTCAAATTTGTGATCCTTCTACATCAGCCTCCCTTTTGGGCTGGGATTACAGGTGTGCACTATACACCACCGTACTCATGTGAGGCCTTTTCTTTACCATCTCAGCTGGCATTTGGTTAAGAGTCCCTGGCAGTGCTATTTGCGTGATGGCATGATGAGCCCTTTCTAAGGTCTTCTTCTTACAGGATTTTGAAGCCTTAACTCCTAACTTGCTGGCCAGGACTGTGGAAACAGTAGAAGGTGGTGGGCTGGTGGTTATCCTTCTACGGACCATGAACTCACTCAAGCAGTTGTACACGATGAGCATGGTAAGTTTTTTTTCTTTTAACTTTTTTTTGGGGGGGGGCGGGGGGGACCGGGGATCGAACTCGGGTCCTTGCGCTTGCGCAGCCCGCGGCGAAACCACTGAGCTAAATCCCTGGCCCTCTTTTGACTTTTGTGGGGTTCAGATCAGTCTGTTTTTGCTAAAGTACACTCTCTTGGAAGGTTTCCTGTTGCGTAGGTAGCTCCAGTAGTGGTCAGTACAGCCTCTGGCCTGGGAGCTCTTTGCAGCTGATGAAAGGTTACTGTAGATAAATCAGGCTCTGAGTGTGCCTAGCAATCTGAATTTCACTTGTGTTTTCAAGCATTTGTAAATCTGACAGTGGTGACATTCAGCTGTGATGCAGCTTTTGTGTAATTGAATTTTTTGGAATGGTTGCAAGGGGCAGGGCCTCAATTTGTGTTTTGCTGAAGAAGGACCATGTGCAGACTTGTTCACCTGCCCTCATCCTGGTGAACAGTGAAGGGATATTTGCCACTTCTCTCCCAATTTGGCAAGAGTTTTGGCTATGGTAGTTTATGGAGAGGTAGTTTCCTCCTCAAACCAAAGCCACTTTGGCCGAAGCCATGCTTAGGAGTGGAGGTGAGTCTCACCTGATGCAGAGCTGGGCTCCTGACTCTGTTCGGAGAAGCAGCCTGTAAGTCTTATCTGCGGCCCAGCGATTTAGCAGTGGTATTAGGGTTGGCCACGGGGTATATTAAGCTGTGTGTCTCTGGTCAGACGGACCTTCCTCAAACCTTGGGGTGCTTCCTGTAACCACCACTCCTGCCATCATTTACCACTTCAGTCCACCTGGCCTCTTCAAATGTGCCTGGCCCACTCTCTTCCTGGGGCCTTCACACTTGCTATTCCCTCTGGAATGTCTTCTTTTGCATATCAACATGACTTGCTTTCAAGTCTCTGCCCTGCCATCCCTTCATCAATGTGGTCTTCTTTACACTTTATGTACAGCAGGTGGCTCCACCTGTCGCTCCTTCACCTTCTTTATTTTTCTTCAAAGTATTTGACAGTGACTAAAAGTTATACATCTGTCTCTTCTTGAATTGTCTCAAAACTTCATAGGAACAGGGACTTTATTTTTCTTGAAGGTGTATTCCTAAATCCGAGAAAAAGTGGCTGGCATTTCGTAAACACTTATTGATAATATTGCAAATAAGTGAATGACTTTGTGCCCACATCAGTGTGTGTTCTTCCTCCCTCTCTTACATGGCTGCTTGCTTATCATTCTGATCTGTTTCTGGGAGACCTTATTTGCTATCACTGCGCTGTATGTTTCCTTTGTAGCATTTGCCAAAATTTGCATTTATTTACTCATTTGTCTTTTTCTAACCATGAGACTGTATATAAGCTCCATGAGATCAGAAGTTGTGCTTTGTTCACCAGTGGATATCCAGTGTCTTCCTTTCTCATCCCTGGGACACAGTACCTGACATCCATAACTTAAAAGAGAAGGAGGAATTAGGGCCGGGGATTTAGCTCAGTGGTTCTGTTGCCTTCCTCGCAAGCGCAAGGTCCTGAGTTCGATCCCTGGTACCAGAAAAAAAAAGAGAAGGAGGAGTTTATTTGGGCTCATGTTTTTAGTCCATGTTTAGCCGACTCCAAGGCAGGAAGGCATGGTGGAAGGGTCTGGCAGAGCAAAGCTGCCCAAGTCGTGGTGGCCAGGAAGCAGTGAAGGGAGGGGCTAGGGAAGGAGATAGACCTTTTCAGGGCCTATCCTGAGATCTACCTCTTCTAACCAGGCCCCATTACCTGATGGCACATTCAGGTACTGGGGATTGAACTCAGGACCTTGTGCTTATGAGGCAGGTGCGGCGCCACTGAGCTGCATCTCCAGCCCATGGTGGGCATTCCATCCCCGGCCCCCATGCTGGGCATTCTTGATCCAAAGGATAACAGCCATTATGTGTGGCACACTAGTTAGCACATATAGTCCACTGAGTTAAGATGCTGGATAAAATGTGGAAAATGTCAAAGATGCAGTAAGGGGAAGTTTATTGGGGTAAGAAATACTACATCTGCTGTCTGATCCTAGTTTCAGAAAAGAGCATATGGCCAGTTCAGCACTGCAGGTAGGAATGGATTTTGTTTCCTGCAGGACTGCTGTTGGCTCCTTCGACAGAGTTCTGTGTTTGGATCTTGGGCCTCAGCACTGTTTGGATGTCCTTATTAATGGATACTGTCTTGTTTTCTTAGGACGTGCATTCCAGATACAGGACCGAGGCCCATCAGGACGTGGTGGGAAGATTTAATGAGAGGTACATCTATAGGCTATTTCTCAATCCCTTGCTGTTGTTGGGGAGCCATAATGGGATATTTTTATCTCGGACCCAGATGAAACATTTGCCTTTGTAGCAGGGGAGGTAGAATAGGCCCCCGAAAGGGTGAGGCTCTTGATGACAGCTGCAGCTGTGAGACTCACTGGACACATTGAGAGGGCCCGAAGTTGGGGCCAGGACAAGTGGATTGTTGTGCTACTGCCCCAGGGGCCTCAGCCAAGTCCCTGTCCTTGGATGGCTTATATTTTATTCATCAAGGGCTGGATTCTTGGGATTACTGTTTCCTCAAAGGTATTTCACAGAATATTACTAGAGAGGCCTTATGACAAGAGGGCTTTTAGGCCAGATATGTCTGGGAAATGTCAACACTTTTTCCTTTGTGAAAAGTACAGTAGCCTGTTGTTGCTGAAAAGTTTTCAGCAGCTGATATCTATCCCTAAGTTTATTTTACTGCAGAGCCCTTTTTTAGGGACCACCAGTTAGCAGCTTGTGAAACACCTATGAGAATTTGGGCCTACATCAGGGGTTCTCAGGATGAATCAGGTGCTTTTGCTCTTGGGATATTTGGTGACATTGGGAGATTTTTTGGTGTGTGATTTTAGAGGTAGTTGGGGAGGGAGCTACTGGCATTGGGTGCGTGGAAGACAGGGATGCTGCTAAAGAGAATTATCTGGCCCAAAATTTCAGTGGTGCTGAGGTTTAGAAATCCAGCCTTGGAGAATTCAGTGGCCTTTCTGATTTTAACAACACTTTTGACTCAGTGGAGTGGGGAGGGCAGGAGCAGCAGCTGTGTGCTGACTAGAACCAAAGCCTGTGAAAGTAGCAGGCAAGGCCTTTCCCTATGTAGCATGGGGGATGTTTGAATTGCACAGCCAATTCATGTTTACCTGTATGCAAGAACTTTGGCTGTATTCCCTTGGGGAACTTTTCTTCCCTTGTTCCTCTTGTTTTTTCCTTTTTGTGACAGAGGTAAACTCATTAATGTCTGTGCTTGGCTCCCTATGTGACTGGTAATCATATGTGGCTTGGTTTTGCAGTCGAGCCTCTTAATACTAAAGAGCCCTGGAGGATATGGAAAGGGCCTTCTAGCTAAGAGCAGTAGCAGTGGTGCACAACAGGGCTCTTAGGCGGGTTCTTGGGTTTTCCTGATGGCTGTGTAAAGTATGTTCAAGTGGCTCGGAGAGGAGGCTGAGTCATCTCACTGCCCTCCAGCTGGTTCTGGCTTGTTCCAGCTTTCTTAGAAATATGTGGGGCTGAATGAAAAGACCCTCTAGACACTGCCTGCCCTCTGTGCCAACTCACTTCCAAGTTTGTGCCCCTCAGGTTTATCCTCTCTCTGGCATCTTGTAAGAAGTGTCTCGTCATCGACGACCAGCTCAATATCCTGCCCATCTCCTCCCACATGGCCAGCCTCGAGACCCTCCCGCCACAGGCTCCAGTGAGTGTGGGGCCAAGACCAAGGCCAGGGATCTGGGGGCAGGCTGGGACTTCTCTGGGGACCTCCTGTGACCACGGCAAACCTCTTCCCTGTGGTAGGATGAGAATCTCAGCCCTTCTGCTCTGGAGCTGCAGAACTTGAAAGAGAGCCTGCAGGACACCCAGCCTGTGGGTGTGTTGGTGGATTGCTGCAAGACCCTAGACCAGGTGAGTGTGGGTGCAGCTTGTTGCCAACCTGGGTAAGGGTCAGGGACAACACAGAGATGAGACAGCACGCAGAAAGCAATGGCATCAAAACCAGGGGACATTAAGGCCAGAAGTGTCGTGTGTGCGTGCGTGTGCGTGTGCATGTGTGTGTGTGTGTGTGTGTTCCGGGTGGCAAGGGGAGCCAGTTCAGGGAGCGAGTTCGGGGAGATGGGTGGATTATATTTAGAGAGGAAGTGCCTTCCTGGGTTTTCCATGCAAGGGTGATCCACCACTTTCTCACTTTGTGACATTATGACCACATGCACATGTTTGCTTACGGCTGGCTTATTTAAGCTGAGAGGAGAGCTTGCAACCCCCTTTCAGTGGGAGCCTGCTGAGGGCCCATCTGGGCTTTGGATGTGAATGGCAGGCTGGGCAGAAGGTGCTAAGCTGCATTTCTGTGCTTGCCAAGGCACCAGTGGTGGTAAACCTGGCCTCTGTAGTGGTTCCTGGACTGTGGTGGGTGTGGACCTGGTGCTGCCGGGGTGTTCAGGATTCTGGTGAAGCCTGAGCCACATGAATGCCACAGACCTCAGCATGGGGCTTTGCCCTCCTGCTGGAAAACAGCCACGGTGACACTTTCCACACAGTGGAGTCCCACCAGGCTGCTTCCCTTTGCACTCTGGAAATGTAATCACCAGCTATAGAGCTGCTGGCATAGGCAGCTTTGAACCACTTCTGGTACCCTCTGTATCACCAGTGAGAGGGAGGGATGATGCAGTATACATAATAGTGTTGTTTTTTAAAAATAGCTGTGCTGGGCTGGGGATTTAGCTCAGTGGTTCTGCCGCCTGCCTCGCAAGCTCAAGGTCCCAAGTTCGATCCCTGGTACCAAAAAAACAACAAAAAGTAGCTGTGCAAATTGAACAAAAAACAATGACAGTTACTAAATATGAAAGAGTACACATTAAGAAATTAGAAAATGGGTTTTCTACTTGGCGGTCCCGCTCTGCAGAGCTACTATTAACAGTTTGTTGTGTATCCTGTATCTTTTCCTGTGAATATGAATAGATGTATATACATTTCAGTGTGAAGGGGTCACACTATACAGGGTGTAAGTGACCCTGTTAGACATTTAAGCTGATTCCAGCAGTTTTACAGTTTTACTATTATACCTACCTACCATTAGGACATTCTCAGATACACCTGTGGACTTTACATCTTGGATAAGTTTCTAGGAGGGGACTTGCTGGGCCCGAGACTGCATGAACATGTTCATAACGGCTGTACGCGCATGCCTGTCCCATCTCAGTACCAGCTGGTGGGAACGTGTTAAACGGGTGCTGCACCATTTGATGGTGTATGAAAATGCCTTTCTCCCTCCAGCCTGGTCAATACTGGGAATAATTGTACTTTTAGTCTTTACCGATCTGTTATGGGAACATCAGATCATTGTTTTGTGTTACCCTAATTATGAGAGAAGCAGGTACCTTCTTCATCTGTTACTGGTTTTCTTTGTTTTAGATTTCTTTTGGTGAACCAGTCGGCTCATGCTCTTTGCCCACTTATTGATTGGGTTTTTGACTCTTATTTTTATTTTATAAAATTATTTCAGAATGCATTTTTAGCCCAGATTTGGTCCCCTTCTGTTATTTCAGTGGAATTTTTTAGTTATGTTTTATCAGCACTTATAACTTTCCTCATCTAAAACAGAACATTTAACGAAAGCCAGGCTGAGATGAAAAGCACCTTGGTCCTCTTTTTGTTTCCATTAGAAGAGACTGGTTTCCTGAAACCCGCTCCCCCTTTTCTGTCTGCCTGGGCCTGCATCTCTTCAGCGTCCTCTTAGTGTCACCCACTGTCTTGGTGGGTGAGGTGACTTCTTAGGACCAGACAGCCCAGTCTGGGCCATCTGGCTTTCTTCTGTGTTGGGTTCCACAGTGTCCCTCTGAGTCAGCTGCTGCTTTCTTGCTTCCCCTCCTGGTGCCAGGCACTCCTTGGGGTGCTGGGGTGATGATAAATAAGGGGCACCTTCTTCCCGGAGCTTGCTTTCTAGTGGGGTGGGACAGACACATGTGAAGGAAAGTAGCAGATCATGGCGTAGTAGATAAGATGCTGATGTGTACACCGGGGCAAAAGGAAAATGGCCCAGAGGGATAGAGTGTGCTGGGATGAGGTGCTGGAGTTGAGCAGGGGTTGGGGCCCCTCCTTAGAAGGTGTTGTTTGAGTAAAGCCTTGAAGGAGTCGAGGCCCTCTGAGGGCAAGCGCTTTGGCAGCAGGATCAGCAAGTGTGGAGGCCTGAGGTGGAGTGCAGCTCTCAGGTGCTCCAGGAGCAGCAGTGAGGCCACTGGGCTGAGGCTCCTGGAGTGGGGAGGAGGTGGAGATAGTGGAGGTCCAGGCTGACCACTGGAAGGGCTGTGTCACTGCATGAGAGACACGGATTGGATGTGTAGTATCTTAGCACAGTACCTAAGGCATCCCCAGGCTTATCTGTGAAAGGACCCTCAGCCGAGGTGGACACAGGCTGTGAGGATTCGCTTGGAAGCAGGGAGGCTAGTTAAGCAGCTGCCGTCAGGAGGCAGGACGGGATGGTGGCTGTGAGCAGAGGTAGAGGAAGATGGTGAGGACTCTGTTTTGCAGGTATCACTCATAGGATCTGTGATGAATCAGGGATGGAGGAGAAAACTGAGGAGGACACTTTTGGTCTGGACAGTGGGACCTTAACTGAGATGGGGAAGATAATAGGTGGGGAGGCTTGGAACATGAGGCGTTAGGTTTAAGTTTGTGTTGGGTGTTGTGCAAGCGGGGGCATACAGGATCAGATATGTGTGCTGAAGTCCGGTGTGTGTGGAAGAGGTCTGGAGTGAAGAAGTAAATTTGGGAGCTTTTGGTATTTAAGGCCGTGAGGCTGGGAAGAGTGATGACCAAGGGAGCAGGAAGCCCAGGCGTGAGCAGTGCTTTCTGGCCCGTGAGAACTGCTGTTTGTTCAGTCTTGGCACCAGCCTGACCTCTCCACAGGGAAGGCAATACATCACCAAACTGGGCCTCACCAGGTACGTTTCTCTTTGCACAGGCCAAAGCTGTCTTGAAATTCATTGAGGGGATCTCGGAGAAGACCCTGAGGAGTACTGTTGCGCTTACTGCTGCCCGAGGACGGGGAAAATCTGCAGCTCTGGGTTTGGCTCTCGCCGGTGCAGTGGCATTTGGGTAGGGGGTTCTGATTTCCCATCTTTGTTTCTTTGACATAGGGTCTCGCTACCTAGCACAAGCTGGTCTCAAACTCAGTAATCCTCCTTTCTCAGCCTCCTGAGTACTGGGATTACAGGCGTGCATCTCCATGCCTGGCTTTTAAGAACTTTGGGCTCTGAGGGGAGAGTATATAAGATTCGAGGTCAGGAGACTAGCAGAACTGTTCTCAGGTTCCTTGTTATGAGCTGATTCACTGACATTTTTCTAAGTCTTGGTGCCTGCCAGGGAAGAGCAGCACTGTTTCCCCCAGACCCACCCATAGGTATGGTGCACTTGCACACACCAAGGCCTTTATATTTCAAACTCATGAGAAGGATGTGTATGGCCAGTTTTGCTGACTGCATATCTTAGTGATCTTGACCAATAAGAGGTCTTGTTTGTTTCCAAGGAGCTGCCTTTGAGTATGCCATTATTTTGGGGTTTTTTGCCCAGGGTGAAAGATTTAGGCAACTTCTTGGAGAGTATGCTCTCCAGCTTTACACGTATACAGCAGACCTAGAATTTGCTGTGTTGTCCTGTACACACTATCTTCCCTAGTTCTCCTTTCAGCTCTGTGGGCTTTTAGTAGGTGGGACTTCCAGTGACTTACTGGAAATCCCCCAGCAAATCACTGTTGGCAGAGCCGGGCCTTGAACTCAGCTCATGACCCCCAGCCCTCTGTCCTTCCTGCTGCGCCAGCTGTACCACTCAGCATTGAGTATCCTTTGCACCAAGGGTCCTGGAGATCCCTGTAGCCTTGGGCTGACCACCAGTTGAGCGCTGAGGCTAAACAGTTTGAAAACCTCAGTACCTTCATGACAAGTGGGAAGCCGTTCCTCTTGTCAGGGCGCTGCACTGGGGACAGTGTACTGGTTCTGCCCATTGACAGAGTTGTCCCCACAGCGCCTCCCAGCACTTAGCTGTAGCAGGTACTGGTAGTCAAACACTGGAGCTGGCTTACTGCACTTGGTTATTGTTATCCTTCCTTTGGGAGGAAAAATATACTTTATTAGGTTTTTTAAAATGTCCTGGATTTCTTAATTTCTTAACAGTCCTCCTTTTCTCTTGTCCTATAGGTACTCCAATATTTTTGTTACCTCCCCAAGCCCTGATAACCTCCACACTCTGTTTGAATTTGTATTTAAAGGATTTGATGCTCTGCAGTATCAGGTAGAGTATTAGAATTAGAATGTCTTTTGATTTTTTTTGCACTGGATTTAAATCTAAGTGGTCTTTGGAATGCTTAATTATTTTATTAATCCTGAGTTTCTAAAGCTTGTCATTGGTTTGCCATTTTCCTTACCAGGAACACCTGGATTATGAGATTATTCAGTCCCTAAACCCTGAGTTTAATAAAGCAGTGATCAGAGTGAATATCTTCCGAGAGCACAGGCAGACCATTCAGGTGAGGCTTCGGTGGTTCTATGTCCTGCTTCGTCTCTGGCTCCGGGATGTTTCCTCATAGGTGTAATATGTACTGTCCAATTCCAAGTCCTTTAGACCATGGTGGTGTTGTGTAAGAATTCTGTTCCAGAATTTCAGCTTTTTCTCAAGAAAAACATTGAAACAAAACAAATGTATGTAGTCTGATTGTAAAGTTATAGTTTTGTCCCCTAAGCATGGGATAACTGGGATTGGGAGTATGCCAGTGAACAAAATGAGTCATTGCTTTGACATCAGCACTAATTTTCCTTAGTTACTGCAGATTTTGCTGCACAATAACCTTGGCATTTAAAAGAAAGAACTTGTACAATGTACTCTGAATCTTTGTGGTTTATCCAGTGGCCTATTTTCTTTTTGAAATAGCATTTTTCCCGGAAGCTCCATAAATCTCTAGCACTCTGTAAGCTTGAATGTTCTGCACTTGTCCAAAGGCTGCAGTTTTGTTAAATCTCTAAGAGGCATCTTAGAGATGTGTGACAGGCTTACAGAAGGGACTGAGATTAACAGGCTCTTACTGGGGTGGGTTCATTGATTGTTTTTGGAGTTGGATTGGGGTGGGAAGTGAGCCAGGTGTACTTGGCAGTATGTCTCTGAACTCTGCCTGTCAGAGCATATGGATGTGGCCCTCAAGAGGTATACCCTTTATCAAAGAATCCAAATGATAAGCAGCATTAAGTGGTTATGCCTTTTACCCTAAGGATCTTAATTTTTCTTACTGGGTTGCTTTCTAGAATCTTTCATTCTTCACTTGTCTTTGCACTCTTGCCTGATTTCCTCCACTGAAAGGAGGAAAGACTGATGTTGGTTGAAGTGGAATTGGGGGCTGGGCTGCAGGATATGAGACATAGAGACCTGTTAAAACTCCAGAAAAACACACAAAGAAGGAAAACATTTCCCTGAAATACCCTGGCTCCTCCGGCCTTGCTCTTTTTTGAATTTGTAATCAAGTATCCTCTCATGTTACCAGTCCTGTTATCTCCAGACTAAAAGCACAGAGGAGGTGACTTGGTTTTCTGAGACTCCATTTATGTTCCTCTGAGGCCTTTTCCCTCTTGCTGGAGGATGGGATGAGGGGGAGGAGAAGGACTTATGTTAAAGCTGGGGCTGCTTTCTCTGCTGTTAAGAGATGGTTGTTTAGTTTGTCCCCTGATGAAGAATAGGGCCCTGTTGAGGACCTGTGTTCTGCTGCCCGCAGGGAGTAGAGCAGCTGCCTCCCTGACCCATCGGCTTCAAAGCCAGCAATGATTTGTGATGACACACTCACCTCATAGGAAGGTTCAGAGGTCAACATAACACTCAAATGCCTGTACTCAGATTTGAGAGATGTGGACATATTTTTGTTTGCTGTGTTTCATATTTAGAAGTCATTTATGGTTTTGTTTGAGAGAACAAAAACATCACAGATACAATCGAGGTCTTTCTTGTAGCCCTCCCATTCCCTTCTGTCACTCCCTAGAGGTAACTGATTCTGAAATGGATGTTTCCTTTCAGTTATTTATTGCTCTTGTCCATAAATAGTGACAGACTAAAAAAAAAATAGTGACAGACTAGTCCTTTTTTAAAAAATCTGTTTTCAAAATTTGTCCAGATTGAAGCATATATATCTGGATGATTTCATTTTAAGCAACTCATGCATATACAAGAATTTTTGTTTCTAGAAGGGGAATTGTTGGGTTTTTAGAGTATGCATAAATTTCCAGCTTTCTTGGATTGTCAAATTCTCCTTTAAAGTATGTCCGTTTCTCTTCATACCAGCAGGCCTTTTGAGTTTTTGTTTCTCTGAATCTTTCCAATGCTGGGTGTTTTACAGCAGTTTTTGTCTGTCTGTGTTTGAAATGGGATCTCCTTGTTGTCTTTAGCGTTTCACTGATTATTCATGGTTGAATTAGCTTTGATTATATTAATTGGTTATTCGTGTTTCTCTTTTCAAACACTTCTTCCTGGCCTTTTTAGAATCACTTTAAAAATGGCAGGAAACGTGAAGAAACCGAAGGGGTTGCTTATGTACATAAAGATGAATGAGTATGTGTGCATTAAGAGAAAAATACCTGGGTGTCCCATGTGTGTCATCGTGTCCCTGTCCCCCCTCTCAGTGCAGGGGTGATGAGTCATTTCAGGCCAGGGAGCACAGCACCTAGCATGATGGGAGACCATCATGGAGGTACACCTGCGCTGGTTTCCCTGATCTGAGGTTGAGTACAAACATGAAATGCCCTGGAAGAGGGGAAGAAAAGGCAGCCATCACCACCTATCAGCATTACAAGCCAAGGACTGGGTGGGGTGCTTTTATATCTTACAGAAGAGGAGTCTGGGGCCCTGTGAGGTTAAGACCCGTGCAGGGTCACACACAGTGATGGAACTGATTGTGTCACTGATGTGTGGTACCTGACTCCAAGGCCATTCCATTCTTGCCCTGCCAAACAAAAGCAGAATGGAGGGTGTGAGAGAGGAGGAAAGGGAATGGAGAGATGGAGGACAAAGTGCCTAGGAGTCAGCCATACTCACAGCTGTGGCTTTAGGTGGCCATGCTCTTCATCTAAATGTTCTTCCCTGCAGTATATACATCCTGCTGATGCCGTGAAGCTGGGCCAGGCCGAGCTTGTTGTAATTGATGAAGCTGCCGCTATCCCTCTCCCCCTGGTGAAGAGCCTCCTCGGGCCCTACCTGGTTTTCATGGCATCCACCATCAACGGGTAAGGCACCTTGGGTCGGGTAGGAGTCATTACTCCTGTTGTAGATTCTTGCAGATCGGTGGCATGTTTTGAATGTGTCTGTGGCCTCTAAAACTGAGTCTTCAAGGCTGCTTCATTCCTTGTGAGGGCTTCTCAGACAGGAGCTGCCCTCTTACTAGCTGCCACTCCATTCTGGTCTGAAATTAAATGGGCAGCATAAGACTGAAGAATTTGGGAACTCAGAGCTGAGAGTGTAGCTCAAGAGTATAGTGCTTTCCTAGTGTGCAAGGCCCTGGGTTTGATCAGCATGCCAAAAAACCCCAACAAAACCCCCCCAAAAAACTGCTACCATTTCTAAAAAACAAAACAAGCAACACCTGACCCCCCCAGCAGAACCCATGTGATGCTTGTCTCCTATCTGTAGATAGAATCAAGTTTTAAAAAGTACATGGATAGAAATGCTGATGTCTTATACATTAGAATTATGTGAGAATACAGTGTTAAAGTTACTAGTTAGCAAAAGAAAGATTTATAATGGCACAAGAAAAAAATTTGAAATATTTAGCTCAGATTTGCTATGAGAAAATTAGAAAAATCAGAAGCGTGGGCTGGGGATGTAGTTCAGTGATTTTTAGTATATGCAGAGTTGTGCAACCGTGCCTCCCACGGTCAGTTCTAGAACATACTTATCACCCCTAAAAGAAGCCTTGTACATCATCTTCCAATCTGTCCATATTCCCCAGCCCTAGAAAGCCACCAGCCTTCTGTCTTTCTAGATTTGCCTGTTTTGGACATTTCATATAAATAGCATCATGCAATATGTGGTCTTTTGCGGTTGGCTTCCTTCACTTACTACAGTGTCCAAGGCCCACCCACATGCCATGTATTTCTTTCCTTTGTATGCCTGGGCTATACTCTGTTGTATGGACATACCATGTTATTCATTAATCTTTTGGTGGGCATTTGGGTTATTTCTACCTTCTTGCTATTATGAATAATGCTGTTGGGGACCTTTTTATACAGGCTTATGCGTGGACTTATTTTCAGTTCTTTTGGGTATATACTGAGGGGTGGAATCACTGAGTCAAGTGGTGACTGTGTCTAACCATAGGAGGGACTGTTAGACTGTTTTCCAAAGGAACTATATCGTTTTGTGTTCCCATGAACAAAGAGTTTGCAGTAGTTCCCCTTGTTCAAGGTGTTCCTTTCCCGTTTCAGTTACCTATGGTCAACTGGAGCCCAAATATATTAAATGGAAGATTGCAGAAATAATTCATCAGTTTCAAGTAACTGCTCTTAGAGCATACTGTTTTAATTTTGTTGCTCTTCTCTTACTGTGCCTAATTTATAAGTTAAACTTTATCATAGGTATGTGTGCACAGGAAAAACATGTTACATCTACAGGAATCAGTACTAGCCATGGTTTCAGGCATTGGTGGCACATCTTGGGATGTGTTCCCTGCATATAAGGTGGGCTACTTGCGAGAATTCTGACTTCCCCACACCCTTGCCAACCCATGTTATGTCTTGTTGATGATAGCCTTTTCCAGTAGGTGTGAAGTGCTATCCCATGATTTTCCTTTGCTTTTCTCAGATATCTAAAGAAGTTAAGCACTCTCTGCTTGTTTTTCTAATAGGGTTATTTGCCTTGTCATTACTGAGTTGTAAGTTTTATTTTTTCTAGATACAAGTCCCTTCCTTATATGTAATTTTCAAAAATTTCCTCCCCTTTCCTCACTTTCTTGTTAATATCTTTGTCTTACTTACTTTTCTCCTTATTGAAACAAAATACCTGACACCCAAAGTTAGAGGAGGAAAGGTTTATTTAGCTCAGTTTATAGAGGTTTCAGTTCATAGTTGGCTGGCTGCAACATAGTTGGCAGGGGAGAGGGGCATTGCAGAGAAGAACAGTTCATGGCAAGCAAAAGGCTACAAGTTACCATAGCAGCTTTTTTCTGCCCCTTTTATGTTCTATCAAGACTACCTGGCCTAGGGTGGGGCCAAACCAGTCAGTGGACTAATTCAGTAATCACCCATCCTTAATCCCAGCATCACACACTCGAGTCCAGCCACCTCCGAAAGGGCCCCACCTATGACTGCATGAGGCTTTAGGGGGACATGCAGACAAGGGCCATAACAATCCTTTGAAATATTAAAGATTAAGTTTTGTTGCTTATAAATACTCATCATGGTCCTTCCCTCTGCCTTCTAAAAACAGAAAATGGATTTTGGAAGAACTTTTTGTGGGGTGGGGAAGGGGAATGAAACAGTCAGAATTCTAGCTTTGATCATTTGTTGAAGTAGTATTTGAGTAAGTGCAAGTATTTATACAGCCTTTTAGGGGCCAGGGATTTAGCTCAGTGGTTCCAACCCCTGCCTTGCCAAGAGCAAGGTCCCAAGTTTGATCCCCGGTACCAAAAAAAATAATAATAATAATAATTTCACTTTATACAGCCTTTAAATATACTAATGACTACTATGAAATGATGTAATACTAAGTATTAAAATGGAAAATCTGCTGAACAGTGTGTGGCCAGTGGTCACATAGGCTTGTGACGAAAGACAAGGAGGAAATCCTTAAAAGTGGGAAGAGCTGGTTCAGTGACCAGAGTATAAATGATTTAGTTTTTTTCCAAGTTTTTTTTTCTCTTTTTTTTGGTACCGGGGATTGAACTCAAGACCTCGCGTTTGCCAGGCTAAATCCCCAGCCCCTGTCCAAGTTTTTTTTTTTTTGCTTAAATTCTTTTATTGGTACGTTTTAGGTATACGATACGTTAAAAATATGGAATGCTTCACAAATTTGCGTGTCCAGCTTTTAATTAGCTGTTTTCCCATTACCTTTTAAGTGAAAGTAGTCATGCAGAATCACTTGGTGGTACTTTGTTTCTGTTTTTGTTGTTGTTTTGTTTTTGGTACCAAGGATCAAACTCAGGACCTTGTGCTGTGGTGGTGCATTTGTTTTATCTTGATTTCCCTGATGGGAAATGCTCTCAGTTCCTTTCTGCATACATAATTCTGTTTGTTTGTTGTTTTAGTACCGATTGAAATCAGGACCTCATGCTTGCCAAGCAGGTGTGATTCTGATAGCAGCTTCTGCTAATTGGCTGTTTAGCACAGCAAATAGTCTTCTTAGACTTCTTTTCAGCTCTTATTTTTTGGTTCACACTGCAGTCCTGTGAGATGTGTAAATAATCCTCTTTGGAGAATGACGCTTCATGATCGAGTTTTGGGCCCAGAGGTGCTAAGTGCATGCCAGGATCTGAGCCCAGGCATGAGTGGCTCCTAGCTGGACCACCAGACTGCCCTTTTCTTCTGGACATGTGTGTGCTATGCTAGAACCTCCGAGATGAGCAGGTTGCCCCCTCCTGGAGAGTGGTTTGGGGAACTCCTGCCTGACTGTTTTTGTCTTTCTCCTAGCTATGAGGGCACTGGCCGTTCACTGTCCCTGAAGCTAATTCAACAACTTCGTCAGCAGAGTGCCCAGAGCCAGGTCAGCACCACTGCTGAGAACAAGACCACGATGACTGCCAGACTGGCATCAGGTACCCATGGACCCCTGATGAGGCCCTAGAGGTCACAGCAGGTCCTCTCAGATTCGTATTGGACCCTTCCTACCCCTGTGAATTCAAGGGTAGTTCTAAACCTTCCTGCTGTCAGACAGAAAGGCCAAGTCCCCAGGTGATGAAGTAGTTTTCTCTGAGGAGGAACACTCCAGTGACAGATGGGATCTTGACTTGTGCTTTCTGGTGGCTTGGCCCTTGTTTGTCCCTGTCTCAGGGCATGGTTGCATTTACCTAGTGACATCACTGTGGGGCTGGTATCATGGCAAGTTGAATATCCACCAAGAACAGTTTAAAACCATCCAGTTTAAATTCTAGAGCATCATGTGTCTGGGCACCATGTGAAAAAGATAAGTGGAACCTTCTTTCTTGCTCAGTTGAGTGATATTTAATAATCGTTTCATGTGGGGAACAGCACGAACGTTGCACGAGGTTTCTCTCCAGGAATCAATCAGATACGCCCCTGGGGATGCCGTGGAGAAGTGGCTGAGCGACTTGCTGTGCCTGGATTGCCTCAACATTACTCGGATTGTCTCTGGCTGCCCCTTGCCGGAAGCTTGTGAGCTGTATCCTCTAGGTCTCCCTGGCCCTGTGAAAGGGATGGGGTAGTACACAAATTAAAGGGGTCTCAGCCCTTTGTTTCATAGGACCTTTCTCTAGGGAAAGGTATGTTGAGTATTCTTGGGGAATGTGGTGGCATGTGCCTGTAGTCCCTGTGCTGACTGAGGAAGCTGAAGCAGGAAGACTGCTGGAGCCCCAGGAGTTTAGGGCCAGCTTGGGAAACATAGACCCTGTCTCAAAAATAAATGCATAGAACCGCGATGACGAACCTGTGGCACGTGTACCACAGCGAGCATGCAGAGCCCTCTCTGTGACAGTCTTGATTTCCTTTCTCTTTCCTTCTGCAGCGTTTCTACTCAGGACACTGGGCTCTTTGTCCCTAGATGAGGGGAATCTGTATGATTTGCAGTGTGTTGTGTTTTGAGTTCTATTTGCTTTGGTTTGGTTCCTTAACTCCAGATCAGCTACTATGTTAACCGGGATACCCTCTTTTGCTACCACAAGGCCTCTGAAGTTTTCTTGCAGCGGCTCATGGCCCTCTATGTGGCTTCTCACTATAAGGTACCTGCAGCTGACTTCTGGGTGACCTCCAGCAGGAAGTAGCGGAAGCACCCTTGGCGTCCTCTTTTACTTATCTTTTCATACCTGTTGTTACCCAGTGGCTCATGTGACTATTCCACTGGCCCTTAAACGGCCTGATGTGGCGAGGTCCAGAGATCTTGGTGAGGGGTTGTATTTCCCGGCATAGTTTGTGTGGCTACTTTCAAGCTTCTGGCTTTTCGTTAAGAATACTGGCATGTAGCTCTAGGAGGGGGGGCTGGAGAGGGTGGAAAGCTTTGCACATCCTTAAAGGGTGCTGTGTTTCTTGTGTGCCTACCAAACTGATAGGCTCAGAGATCATCATACTTGTTACCCAGTGGCGCTGTTTGGCCCAAAACCAAACAGCAGCTTTGTACTGCTGAGCTGTTTATAAGGAGCAGCAAATCAGAGGGTTTAGAATCTTTGAAACTCTTAGAAACTATGGGGCAGTTTGGGAAGAATGCTTTGAGTGTCTAGGAAGCATTTTGATAAATAGTCTGTATTGGAAGGTTGAAGAGTTGTTAGATGCGCTGGGAGCTTTTCCTGAAATAGCAGCCTCTAGCCTCTTACCTAGAGAAGTCCCCATCCCAGTTGGGAAATAAATGGTGCTAAATCCACTTCCTCTACACCACAGCATTTGGGCTGGAGGAACAGTAGGCAGTGGGGGCTCAGTCCCAGTTAACCCACTGTAAAGAGTCTCAGGCTTGCCACTGTGCTGCAAAGGTACTTTGCTGGGTTTTAGTGCTTCACTTGGCTTTGGGGACAATTCTGCATTAAGTCTCCTAAGTGAAGGACAGGAGCAGGAGAGTTTCCTACTGACCATGATTTGCACCCCGCAGAACTCCCCCAACGATCTCCAGATGCTTTCGGATGCGCCTGCTCACCACCTCTTCTGCCTTCTGCCTCCCGTGCCCCCCACCCAGAATGCCCTGCCTGAAGTCCTTGCAGTTGTCCAGGTACAGAGCAGAGGCATCCTTGTGGCATTGATTAGGGGTGGCTTTTGACCACTATCATGGGAGGAGAAGCAGTTGAGTCCTGGTCCGGACCCAAGAGGCTGTGATGTCGAGGCAGTGGTAGGGGTAAATGAGAGGAAGCCCCACCCTCAGAAATGCAGAGCCCTGCTGTTGATGGGTGGTAAAAGCTGGAATTCGTTTTCCCCTTTTTATTACAAAAGCAATATGTATTTGTAATATTAAACCTAGAGATTGGGGAAAGATTTTTAATGCCTGGCATGCATGTGTGCATATTTCTGCCTTGTTTTTCCTTTTCATAAGTGAGACTAGTATTTCATAATTGATAATTATTTTTCTTTTAAGCAGTATGTCAGATATTCATAATCTGTTGTTTCATTATACACATGTGCCATTGTTTGTTTCACCGTTCTCCTGTTAGATACTTGAGTCAGTTTGAATTTGCACTGTCCTGCACAACTGGGTGAGCATCCCATGTCTTCAGTGAGGCATGACAACACAAATGCATGGAGACCCTCTTCTTGGCAGATTTTACTTTTTGGGTCAGAAGTATGTCTGTATTCTGCCTTCTTAGTAATGCAGAGCATAGTAAAGGTTCTGTGAAAATTGGGCTAGTCAGTTTCAGGGCTGATCCAGGAGGTGGCAACACCTGGCCTTTTCAGAGAACTAGCAAAATGTGGATGCTTAGAAACTGGAGCTGCCTCTTTCCCCTCAGGTGTGCCTTGAGGGAGAGATTTCTCGCCAGTCCATCTTGAACAGCCTGTCTCGTGGCAAGAAGGCTTCGGGGGACCTGATTCCATGGACGGTGTCAGAACAGGTGAAGGGCCCTCCCTGCCACATCTGAGTGGGCAGAGCTGGTGGTTCCGAGGCTGTTTGTGTTGCTAATCACTGGTTCATGTCTCCTTCTCAGTTCCAAGATCCAGACTTCGGTGGCCTTTCTGGTGGAAGGGTTGTTCGCATTGCTGTTCACCCAGATTACCAAGGGGTAATGTCATCCTATGCCACTCTGTGTTCCTGGCAGCTCTTTAGGGCAGGGCTGGTCATAGGGCTGGGGATTTAGCTCAGTGGTTCCGGTGCCTGCCTCGAAAGCGTAAGGTCCCAAGTTCGATCTCTAGTACCAAAAAAAAAAGAAGCTGGTCATGAAGCAAGTAAAGTTCCAGGCACTTCTCTGCTCTGGAGAATTTAGCCAGGGTGTGGGGTAGGCAGGTGGATGGGATAATGGTGTATGCTCCCTCTTCCTTTGTGAGAACAGGAGACTTGTCCAACCAGATTGGCTTTCTGTAATTACCTTCTGTCACTTGGAAAGCCCCACTGAGAAATTAGCTGTAGAAACTTCCCATTTTGGCAGTGGTACAGAAACTGTCTTTTGGGTTTGCTGGTCTGTGAACTAGAAAACAGACACCCATCCTTAGCCTGAAGGGACAAATGGGCTGGACCAGGGTAAGAACTAGGGTTACACTGTGCTCAGTCTCTAGGGTCTCAGCTTGGACGGCATTGAAGGGTTTCATTGCTGCCCTCTGCCCACTGCAGTTTAATCAGGAGGAAGGAGGGTTCTAGGGACAACACAGGGAGTAGAAGTGGTGGAGAAAGGCTGCGAACATTTCTCATTCCTGCCTGTTTCCCTCTGTTGCTTGCAGATGGGCTATGGTAGCAGAGCTGTGCAGCTGCTACAGATGTACTATGAAGGCAGGTTTCCATGTCTGGAAGAAAAGGTCATTGAGGCATCACAAGAAATACACACCATAAGCAGCGAGGTAAGCATGTACTGGCCAAACACCTGTCCTGAGTCTTGGGAGGATCGTTCTGTGGGTCCTGAGGAACAGCACTGAGAACCCAAGCTCCTGCGTTTTGTGAAGGCAGCTGCTTTGTCCAGCCTGGCATTGCAACTGGGGTCCTCAGGCCGGTACCTTCAGCATTACTGGGAAACATGTTAGAAATGCAAACTTGTGAGCCCTGCCCCTGCTGAGTCAGAAACTCAGGAAGCCGCCCAGGGGCCTGATGCATGGTCAAGTTCGAGAGCCGCTTGTCTTTGTTGCCCTTGTTAGCACTAAGCCCACACTCCAGGAAGGTCTGTCTTTCCTTGCTAAGGGTGATTGGTGCATGTGGCCATGCCACCTTTTCACATATGCATTGATCTTTATGGTATTTCCAAGTGGGAGCTAAGGAAGGATCTTTTAAAAATGTCAGCCGCAGAAGCTTGTCCCTTGCAAGGTCACAGAGCTGGATCTTCCAAACCCTACCTCTGTCCTTTCATGAATGTTAGGCATTGCTAAGCTGTGTGGTGCCTTCTTTCTTTCTTTCTTTCTTTCTTTCTTTCTTTCTTTCTTTTTTTGTACCGGGTATCGAACTCAGGACCTTGTGCTTGCAAGGCAGGCAGCAGAACCACGGAGCTAAATCCCCGGCCCTTTGTGGTGCCATTCTGCATCCAAGTCAGAGCAGTATGACTCCACATGTGTAGATGTTTGGAACACCTTGAGTTAATCAGGCTTCTGTTTGAAAACCACAGGTACAAACCAAGAAAGCTCTCCCAGTCCAATGTGTGGCCTGGCAGGGGTGTTTGTCACTGTCCCTAACCACTCTTTTCTACTGAGTGCCTGGTGTCCTCTCTCTGCCTCTCCCCAGGCTGTCAGCTTGATGGAAGAAGTCATCACTCCCAGGAAGGACCTACCTCCCCTGCTCCTCAAATTGAACGAGAGGCCTGCTGAGCACCTGGATTACCTGGGTGTGTCTTACGGCTTGACCCCCAGGCTCCTCAAGTAAGTGCCTGCTCTGTTCCCCCTCGGCACTCTCTGTAGCCAGTGTCTGTGCAGCCGTCTGCCAGCTCTGCCCCTGGTCCTCCTGGCCTTTATCCCCCAGTATCAGCTGCTCCACAGAAGGGACCCCGGGCAACTCACTGTCCTTGTCTGTTTGCAGGTTCTGGAAACGGGCTGGATTTGTTCCTGTCTATTTGAGACAGACTCCTGTGAGTAGGCATCAGGCAGAGTTGGGCTTAGGGTGGTGGCAGGCCTGTCCTCGCACAGAGCCCTGGTGTCTCCCTGCTGCTGTTCCCTGGCAAGGGTCCCTGAGCTTCTGCAGAGGGCCCCTCTGATGCACACAGAAGGAGTGATCTTTCTAGAGAGGGCTGGAGAGCACGTGTTGATTCACCTGCTGCAGGGGCCAGCTTGGCTTGTCAGTGTGAAGTGGCAGGAGCATGAATGGATGTGTTCGGCAGATTGCCGAATCCTGTCTGAATTTGTAAAAATAAGGAAAACTGGTTTTAGGATGAGAGGAGTTGAGCAGACTCAGACTACAGATTAGTATCTGAAGAAGGAACATAACTGTGTGGGTGTGACGGTGCCACAGCAGATTGCTGAGGGGAGGTGAGACAGACAGTGAGTATTCACTTAGAGTTACTTACCACCTGCAGAGACTCAGGCAGTGAATAAGGGAAGCAGTGAAGCCTCTTTTCTGTTTTTCGTTTTTTTAGACAAGGTCTTGTAGTCCAGGCTGGCCTTGAACTCACTATATAGCCTGGGCTGGCCTCGAACTCGAGGCAGTCTTCCTGCCTCAGCCTTCCAAGTGCTGGGATTACAGGCATGTGCCACCACACCCAGTGATACATTTTAGATATACATAAGATTCATCATAGAGAATTTGTACTTGTATGTGATATATCTTGTGAAACCTGTTTCCTAATGAGGAAAAACAGCAAAAATCTGAACACATTAGCTATCGTCAGAGAGTAGTAGGTACTGTGAAGAAACCAGATCAGTTAGGGCACAGTGAGGGGCAAAGGTCCATGGGGGCTACCTTCAAACTATAGCCTGGACTGAACCAGTTGGCTGCAGGGGTCCACAGTGGAAGGAAGCAGTTGGGGCTGCAGATGGGTTTTGAGAGGTTCATTAGCGTACTCGTACTAGAATGTGTTCCACAAGGATGAGGATTGTTTGGTCTGTTTTGTTCACTGTTATATTCCTAGCATGGAGTATAGCATCTACTAAAATATATAGTATGCGTTCAGGTTTATATGCTTTTGTTTAGTGAGTAGATAAATAGTTGAAGCTGTTACAAGTAGAAGAGGGTGAGTCTGGGCTCTCACGTGTGCAGGAATGAGGAGGAAGATACAGCTTGGGAGGCCGAGGAGGAGCAGTCTTGCTGTGTGGGAGGAAGTTAGGAGTGCGGTGACAGAAATCAAGATGAGAAAGTGTTGCCAGGAGAGGAATGAGGCTGAGGGCAGGGCGCTTGCCTACCATGCACGAAGCCCTGGGTTCCACACCCTGCACTGGAAAAACCAAAAAAAAGGGTGGGGTGAGTCAGTTGCTGTTCAGAGTATTAAGAGGATAGCAGAGTTGACCATTGGATTTTCAAACCCTGGGAATGTGAATGGGGTGAAGCTTTCCACCTGATTGGAGGTAGTGAGAGATGAGGAAACAACATGAGCAGACACTTTTACCCCGAGTGAAAGGAAGCAGAGGACCAAAGCAGCTGGGCAGAGGTGTATAGAGAGTTGGTCAGGTGGAGATACTTTAGGAGGGGTCAGGTGGAGCTGGGACTCAGAGGAGGGGTGGCCGCCTCATCCCTTTCAACCAGATGGAAGGCCAAGAGCATGGGTTACAGGTGCCAGTCAGCAGTGTGGAGGATGATTCTCTCTGATGGCTTCTCTGATCCTCTCCCCTGGAGAGGGGAGGGCATCAGCTAGAGGGAAACCTGTTTTGGAGGGTGCAAAGCCAGCATCCAAGGTCATGTGGTGTCTGCTGGAGAGTTTAAAGAGGGACTGGGGAGCCAGGCATGGTGCTGCATGCCTGTTACCCTAGCGCTCGGGAGGCTGAGGCAGGAGGATCACCTTGAATTTGAGGCCAGCCTGGGCTACAAAGAATTCAAGCCTAGCCTGAACTACATAGTGAGATCTTGTTTCAGAAATGAATGAACAAAATAAAGAGGGACTGGGGAAGAATGTGGTTTTGGCCGCTTGTGTGCTGCAAAGTGCGGTACAGAGATGGGTGGGGACCCCATCAGGGCCAGGGATAAGGAGCACAGACTGGTGCCTGCCCTCCATGTAGACGGTGGTGTGTAATGTGGCCTTGTGCTGTGTGTAGCATACCTGTTAGTGTTGTAGTCAGGGTTTTGGCAAGGGAATACATTAAATACAGGACACATAATTTATAGGATTATTTTTGATAATTACTCAAAGTCAAAGAAGTCCAAGAAATTAACCCTACACTAGGGGCCCAAGGAATCCACCTGAAGGCCTGGATCCTAGCAATGTCCCACACAAGTCTAAAGGCCAAGGCAGTGTCCTCCACAAGTCCAGCCAGTGGCCTAGAGCACACAGCAATGTCTCATGCTTGTCCTTATTGAGGATCTGCACCTGGAAGGCCCAAAGGACAGTGGTGGAAGCCAGAAAACCTATGCCGGTAAGATGAAGGATTTCTGTCACCAAGCTGAGGGATCCACATTGGAGCCAGGAAGTGATGCTCATGGTGAAGATCAGAGCTCCCTTGACAAAAACAGCAGCCATTCCCAGTGACAGCGATGCCCCGACCTCCTCCTCCAACGAGAACAACCAAGTTTGAACCAGGAAAACCATCCGCAGCAAACTTTTTCTAGAAAATCCACAGGCCAAGATATTCCCCTCCAGTTGTCTTTTTTTTTTCCCAGCTCTCTTTTTATGGCTATTGGTAACAATCCTCAGGTGGATCCTCCACGCCCAGACCACATTGATTCAGTTCAGCTGGGCATTACATGTTGACCATTAGTCAGTCCACCACACTTAGTGCCAGCATTTAGCTCCCTGAATGCTCTTTGGGCTGGTAGATATTTTTTATGCTGTGGAGCTTTGTTGTTACGTAGTAAAAAATTTAAAAACCTATGGTCTCATAGTCGCTGTTTTAGTGCTTTATGCAGCCTGTACTTTGCACACTGGCTGTTTGACCCTGGGTTTTTTGCTGTAAGGTGCCAAAAACATGCTGGCTGGATTATGTGGAGTGTGCTCTGACCTGACTGCAGAGCCTGCCTGAGAGGAGCACATGGCTTTCTTCTGTGGGTCCAGGACAGAGGTCAGAACTGCAGAGCAGCCAGCTGTGCTCATTTCCACAGCAGCTTTTAGGAAGTTGTGTGCACAGTGAGCTTGAAAGCCCCTAAGTGTGGACTGTGGCGGGTGATGTGGGAATGGGAAGGTGAAGGCCTGCAGGGACAGGATAAGGGAAGGGCGCAGGAGCACCGAGACCCCCTTTATCTGGATGCTGGCTCATCCAGAAGAGGGATTCTTGGTGGCAAGTGGGAATGTGTGTTCCCCCAGAATGACCTGACTGGAGAACACTCGTGTATCATGCTGAAGACGCTGGCTGACGAGGACGAGGCTGAGCGGGGAGCCTGGCTCGAGGCATTTTGGAAAGGTGAGAGTATGCAGGTGGAGAGGAGAGGGACGGCAGTGTGACAGCTTGCTAACTCTGCCTGCTGTATCCCGCAGATTTCCGGAGGAGGTTCCTGGCCTTGCTCTCCTACCAGTTCAGCACCTTCTCTCCTCCCGTGGCTCTAAACATCATTCAGAACAGGAGTGTGGGAAGGCCAGCTGAGCCGAGTGAGTAGGGCTGGGCAAAGGTGTCGGGCTGAAGTGGCATTTGTCCTAGGAAGAGCGCTTGCCTGGGAACTGAGTCCTGGGTTCTAATCCCCAGTCTTCCCAAGGCCCCTGCTTCCCAGCTGTGTCCTGTGAGCACTGTCACGCGTGCCGCCTTCTGCATCGGGGCAGGGCTCTGGGGTGGGACTTGATGTCGGAGACTGTATAGCAGCTAGGTGTGGAGCCCAAGTCAGATCCCCAGATCTAGGGGAACTGGCTCAGTCTGGGGCTCAGTTTCCTTACTGGTGAAATTTTACTAAGAATCTGGTGCCAGCCTCCTGTGGTCAGCTTGTAAAAAGTATGTGCATATAAGTTGGTTCTGTTTGGGTAATTAAAATTTGAAAATTAAAAAAATACATAAGAGATCATTAATAACAGCTGTGTTTTCCTCATGACAGTCGTATATATCTGTATACGTGTTTTTATATACGTATATACACATATTTTTTTTGCCAGTTACACTGTGATAGGAAACTGGGCAGGCAGGCACACTGTGAAGTGGGTCCTGAGGAGCAGTGACAGAGTGTGGGAAGGCTGGTGCCTCGACCCTCTGACACTCCACCACAGGGAGCCTTTCCTTGGTCCAGTGTTGGTGTGGGAATTCTGGGGAAGGGTCACGTGTGAGACGTCCCCCACCTTGGTATGGCAGTGGGTGGGTGCCTGTGTGCCAGCTGCCTCGTGTTGGGTCCTTGCCGATGCTTCCAGTGGCTCCTGCGTGTCAGGGTGCTGCCTTGTGAATCCCGTCTCACCCATTGGCTCTTGTCACCTATGTAGTCCTAGGCCAGCGGGAGCTGGAGGCGCTCTTCCTCCCCTATGACCTGAAGCGGCTGGAGATGTACTCACGGAACATGGTCGACTATCACCTCATCATGGACCTGATCCCAGCCATCTCCCGCCTGTATTTCCTGAACCAGCTGGGGAACCTGGCCCTGTCCGCGGCCCAGTCGGTGGGTTCTCTGGTGCTGGTGTGCAGGAGGAGAAGGGAGGCTGCATGGGTGCTGGGTGTTGGGTGGGGCCCTTGGACAGTTTCTCGCTTTCATTTCTGACAGGTCTGATAGGTAGGTGCCGGTCTCATTCTGCAGCCCTGAGGGCGAGTGCCTGGCTCTGGAGTTGGTGGAGGGGCAGCTGCACTTTGAGCCCATATTCTTTAGACCCCACCGTGTTGCCTTGATATTTAACTATCTTCAAAGCCCAGGGACCGCAGACCTGGAATATGGTTTTGAAGCAGGAGTTTGTCAGGATAATAAAAGCTAGATTGGGGATTTCCGAAAGAGGGAGCAGTGCCTCTTGGGGGTTTCAGTAACAGCATGAAAGGGAAGATGCCAAAATTAAACAGTGCTGGTCTGTTGTTTCTACCAGATAGCTTTGGTTGAGAGGCTAGGTCTGGATCTCAGGGTGATTTCAATAGGCCAGCTGTTGAACACCATTCTGGCTGATTTTCTGTCCTCCAGGCTCTTCTCTTGGGGATCGGCCTGCAGCATAAGTCTGTGGACCAGCTGGAAAAGGAGATTGAGCTGCCCACAGGTCAACTGATGGGACTTTTCAACCGGATCATCCGCAAAGTTGTGAAGGTACCCTGGCCCTGGCAGCGGGGCTTTGGTCTCTTTCCACTCATGCAGCCCCCCTCACCCACCCCATGCCCGAGCAAGTATTACCATTTGGCCGTGTTTCCTGTGGATCTTCCCACACATACACAGGGAAATTGGGGATATTGGCTGTATCTGTAAAATTCTGGGTTCTCTCCTAGGGCGTTCCTGTTGGGAATTTGATACTTGCCAGGACTGTGTTTTTGTACTCCTGCTGTGACTGTGCTCCTGAACTCCAGAGCATCACTTGGCATTTCGGAAGTGCACACTTTTCTTTAAGACACTAGGTGCTAGTTGGGCATGGCGGCACACATGTGTAATTCCACCATTTGGGAGGCTGAGGCAGGAAGATCGTGAGTTGGAGGCCAATATGAACTACCGAGGGAGACCCTGTCTCAAAAAACAAAACAGCAGAATTACTAGGTGTCATGGTAACGTGTGAGAGGATCCCTGTTGCCCCTTCATCTTCTGCCTCTGTTGTCTTTTGTAGCTGTTTAATGACGTGCAGGAAAAGGCCATCGAGGAGCAGATGGTGGCAGTGAAGGATGTGGTCATGGAGCCCACGATGAAGACCTTGAGTGACGACCTGGTGCGTCCCTTCTGGAGGCCTTGGGTGTCGTTGCTGCCACCTTTGGGTGCAAAATGTCTTCCCCTGTGTGTTTCAGTGCACAGGGGCCTAGAGATGTGCCTCTGTGTGTGTGTGTGTAAGTGCAGGAGCCCAGCATCTGCTGGTGTAAGAATTGTGCTTGTCCTTTCAGCTGCTTATCTGCATTTTTTATATACTTACATACTTTAAAATCCTAGAAGCTGCGAACAGCGACTTCAAGGGTACACTGAGAGGAGGACATATTTCCTCCTTGTCACACTGTGCCTCCCTCCCCTCACTTTACCTGCATTTTGTACCCGCTTGGCTCTGACCTGCTGCTCTCTTTGGTCCTTGGCCACAGGATGAAGCAGCAAAGGAGTTCCAGGAGAAACACAAGAAGGAAGTGGGGAAGCTGAAGGACATGGACCTCTCGCAGTAAGGGCCCCTCCTGCTGCCCCAGCGAAGCCAGGGCTTTGCCTCAGCCTTGGGGCCCCAAGTCTGCCTGGGGGTTTCTTCTGACCCATGCCCCAGGTGTCCTGGAAGCTGCTTTGGGGGGTTGCTTAAAGGGCACTACACCTGAAAGCCTCCTCACTGACTGAAATTTCAGAGGATTGGTTTGCCCGGATCCATTCTGCTCTTTGGTTTTTGGGTTGTGCTTCCTGGATCCCAGGGTTCCATGTCACACCTTAGTCCCTTGGCAATGGGCTTGCAGATCAAATGAGCATTATTTTTTTTTTCTAGTACTAGGGGTTGATCCTAGCACCTTCACACTGAGCTACATCTCTAGCCTGTTTTTACAACTTTTTATTTTAACACAGGGTCTCACTAAATTGCCTAAGCTGGGCTTTAACCTTTGATCCTCCTGCCTCAGCTTCCCAGAGTGCTGGGATTACAGATATGCATCACAGTGCCTGGCTGAGGGTTCACTTTTTTTTTGTACCGGGGATTGAACTCAGGTCCTTGGGCTTCCGCAGCAGGCTGTGAAACCACTGAGCTAAATCCCCGGCCCTGAGGGTTCACTTTTAATGGCCACTTCTCTATACTTGGGTTTTGCACATGAATTTGTTTGCCTAAAACCCTGCTCAAGAGCCCTCAGTGTCCTAGGGTTCTTGTTCCCTTTTGGGCTTTAACTGTGGTGTCACCTGTTCCCCAACTCTGAGGGCTGATGGCTCTGACAGTGCTGGCACATCCAGGCTCTAATAACAAGTGCGGTGGTCTGTGAGCCTCTGTGACCTGTCATCTGTGACTGTATCCCTAGTGACAGTGGTGGTTCGACCTCAGGTAGAGATGACCAGGCGTCCATGTAGGGTATCAAGCTATAGTTTCTGCCCTCAGCTTTGCAATATCAACATCTTGAGGTGCCAGGACTGTTAGATCAAAAGGGGTGGCTGGGGTAGGAAGGGGAGAGGCCAGCTCCAGGGCTGGTGGGCACATGCCTGGAGATAGGAGTGAGGAAGGCAGTTGTGGGAGGCGATGGCAGTTACTGAGAGTCCAGTGGGACTGTCCTCCCTGGTCCCTGCTCCTGGCCTGGCCACCCTGGTCCTGACACTTGTGTCCTGGGGAGCTGAGCTGCACACCTTGGCCTGGATGCCTGTCTGCCCCCTTCTCTCCGATCTTCAAACTGGACGCAGCTCAACCTGCCCTTTGTAGCTAGAAGTGTCTGATAGGACTGCTGTCACTGTCGTATTTTCCTTTCAGCAGTCCCCTGCTCTTGATCAGTCCTTGCTATTTCCCCTCTTTTTGTAGATATGTCATCCGGGGGGACGATGACGAGTGGAATGAAGCTCTGAGCAAAGCCGGGCAGAACGCCTCTATTGTCAGCCTGAAAAGGTGAGGACTGGAAGCCTGACAGTCTTCGGGCCCGCTGCCTCTGCTGCTCTGAAGCTGTCCCTGGGAAATTGTGGGGGAGGAGATGGGACACACACACACAGCTTGAGAGAGAAGCCCTTGCTCACTCTTCCCTTTGAGACTGTTTTGGTGCCACCTGTGTAGCCCATCTGCAGGCCAGGGGCACGGCCTGAGCCACAGCCCTGTGCTGCCACCAACTAAGACTGGTGGGACTCTGGCCTGGTGTCCTTAGCCTTGGGACAGCAGCACGGGGGTTTTCCCTACCAACGCTGCTGTGTACAGGTGAAGTTACAGGCTCTCCGGTGAGGTAGCTTTCTAGGATGCAGGCAGCTGGAGGACAGCTGCAGTCTGGACCAGCTGTCAGCTGCTCTGCCATCTGTCTCTCAGCATTCTGGGGCTCAGTGTTTGTTTGTATCCTGAAAGCCCAGGACTCTTTGTTTATGTGGACCATATCTTTTGCTGTTTCCATACTATGAATTAAAAAGTGAGAAATTTTTTAAATATTTGTTTGAAATGAACAACAATGGACTCATTGTGGGGTTTTCTTATTTTTGGGGGTGGTGTTATTTATTTATTTATTTTTGATGCTGAGGCAAGAGCCCCACCAGAGTCACATGTTGGCTAATCAAGTGCTGTCCCACGGCTCTACCTACAGCCCTCACTGTGCTTTCTTACTTTAAGAAGGGCTTTTCAGAAAAACCTCAGAAGAGTGGCATTACTTTACATCTATATTTTTGCAGATGTGTTGATATCTAGCTTGGCAAAAGCAGCTGGATTCCCATCTGCCTCTGCATTCACTCTGCTGTACTCACATCTTGCATCCTCCAGAAAACTGAACATTTATGAGAGAATGAAAATGGAAAAGGCAACTAGTGTATTGCTATTACTATGAATATAGCTTTGACCTTCTGGGCCAACCCAGGAGTCCCTGAGCAAGCTTTGAAAACCTTCACTGGGGCTGAGGATTTACCTCAATGGTTCTGCCACCTTCTTTGCAAGTGCAAGGGCCCGAGTTCAATTCCTGGTACCAAAAAAAAAAAACAAACCAACCATCATTGCCAAGTGATGTGGTAGCTAAGTGTGCTTGCATGGCCTGGAACCTTCTCTGTGCATCCTTTGGAATAGCACGAGGTCTCTTCTGCCTAGCTGCTTTGGGGTTGGGAGGTGGGTAACTTGGCATTGTCATAGTTACTGATGGGGTTCCCTGAAGAATTTATGTTGGAAGCATTTAGAAAGAGGGCACCTTGTGACTCTAGGAACTGTGGATCCCAGAAGTCAGGCATTGTCCTCGGGCATCTCCATAAATGACTGCAGCATCTGGAAGGTTCCAGCGTCGATAGCAACCTCATTGCCCAGATGCTCGCAGGTGTGGCACCAAGGCTTTACAACAGCCACCGTCAGGGTGTCCCCTTTCTGATTTGGACAGTGTGGCAAGGGCAGCACAGGGTCCCTCATGCTCCCACCTTGGGCCTGGGGGCCTGTGCTGCAGAGCTTGGCCTCCCCTGTTGTTTTGGCTTTTATGGTGACACTGAGCCTCCTGCATCAGCCTGGGTGGGTGGTGGTCACGTGCCCACAGGCTAGAGTAAATTGAAAGCACTCTTTAGGTAAAATGCTAATTAGCCCACCACTAGATTGTGTTTGAGACCTTGCTTTTCTTTCATCTTTTTTTCTTCTTTTAATTCTGAAAGGTACTGCATGTTGTGCTGTCTCTAGAGCGAACTGGTCACTCCCTACGTAGGGAGTATTTGTTCCATGGGCAAAATGCCATGAGAGGATCTTTCACCACTCAGGCTTCCTTAGACTGGAAGGTGGCCGCTTGATGGGCACCTCGGCTCCAGTCTGCCAGTGAGGCATCCTGTAGAACCCAGTTGCTTGCTGCTCCTTTAGATTTTCTTCTATTCATTTAGAGGAAATAACAGTACCTCAGAAAGTATGACAGGCTTTGCTTAGAATCTCACACTTCGTGTTGAGAGCTGACTTTGGGGCTCCCTAGGGTGATTGGTTCCCAGGGTAACCCCAGCAGTGCAGGTGTGGACAGGATCTCTCTTGTAGCACTCTAGATGTTTCTGGAGGTCTTGTGTATGCGGCACTCTTTAGAGAACCCAGATTTCTGGTGGAAAGATTTGTTCCTCCAGACTCGGCTCGGTCAGAGCCGATGCTGGTCTGGCATGTCCCTGGTCCCCAGCATGATACCTGTCACCCTGACAGGTTTGCAGAGGACATTATGCTTGGTGGGGTGTTCTTGCGTCAGTGGCAGACGGCGAAGACTCCTTTCAGACAAAGCAAAGTGAGCTTGCAGCCAAGCAGCCTGAGATCTGTGCTGTGTCATTCTCTCTCCTCTTATGCCTGCTGTTTTTTCCTCCAGTGACAAGAAAAGGAAGTTGGAAACCAAACAAGAACCCAAACAGAACAAGAAGTTGAAGAAAAACAGAGATATGAAGAACAGAAAAGATATGAAGCTGAAGCGAAAGAACTAGTGAAGAAAAACTTGGATATTTGTGGCTACCCATGAGGAAAGAGCCTGACTTCCCGAACCATCTCCCTGGCTGACCTGGGCAGCAGCCTAGATGGTTCAAAGCAACAAGGGCCCCCAGTAAGAGTGGAAGCCAGCCATGAGTTGTCTCCGGGTGCAGCCTGGCTGGAGGCGGTCACTCCCAAACGGTTCTGCCTAGACCTTGCTGGTTGGGCAGAGCTCTGGCACTTCTGTTCAGACCTTCGTTTCCCATGAGCTCACCTTTCACCTTGGGCTGGTGTTTCAGGCTCATTCCCATGCCTGGGGAAGCCATTCTGACTCTGTTCCCTTCTCAGGGCCTTAAGTACACAGATTTTTGGTGATGCTCTGGATGGACTGCTGGGTCTCTTCGTGGACTTGTCCCAAGGCCCTGACTTGGAGCAGCAGGAGTTCTAGTGTACCCAGAGGTATTGGCAGGCCCCTACTGTGTGCACCACGGTGTGCTAACGCTACATTTTGTTGCACTCCTAGCCACAGCACCTAGGAACCTGAGCCCTTAATTTTAAGTAGGATGTAACATCTGAGTCTGCTAGCTCTGTTGTCAGTTGGGAAAAAAACATTGGGAAAGGCCCTTTTGCTAGCAGGGTGAAGGGAGGGACAGAGAATCTATTTTTAATAACGTTCTAGAAGAAGACCCTTTGTCTGTGGGTGTCATAAAATCCATGTCTGCGGAAGTTGCATGTTGCCCTGTTTCCTGGCTGGCAGGGAGAATATGGAGGGTTTGGGATCAAGGCTGAGGGTGTGTTGTGGCTGTAGCTTCCTAAGTCAGGAGCTGTGGGAGAAGTGGCAGGTACCAAGTGGTGCTGTGGTTGCCAGTGAAGCGGTTGTGTGGTGGCTGGCAGTCAGCTAGCTGTGCCTCTTTTCCTCCCTGGCCCCTGCCATGTCATTTGGTGCATCGTGTTTGTTGGGATAGAAATTATGTGATGACTTAGCACACACTGGTCCATTCGTTAGATGGTGTCCATGCTATGAGTCCAAATAGAACCTTTGCTCGACTCTTGAGGTAACCTGGGTTGGTAGAAGTATAGGAGAAGGATGATGGGTCGGGGAGGCTCAGGTTCTGTGACTGTTGCTAGAATTGCTCTGCCACCTCTGTCAGGACAGGGGCCACGGGGCCCTTGTTTCCTGGTTCTGCTGCTTCCTGCTGCAGACCCTCCATTGGGCTTGCTAAGAGGAACAGGAAAATAATTTTTATTTTCTCAGGTGAGTGTCTGAGCCTGCCTTTCAAAGAGGATTGATTTTCTTAGAGCAAGGCCACAAAGCAGAGTCCAAATCTGAGTAGTCACAGCCGAATGGTTGGTCAGACATTGTCCAGGGTGTGGTCCCAAGGGTAAGGAAGCCCTTGCTGTGTCCAGCCCCTGGCTGTCCACTGCCTCTGCCCTGGGCTATAAGGGGACAGGGGCTCCAAGGCCAGGTGCCCAGAAGTGTTTAGACACCGGCTTGGTCCTGACCCTCTCTTGAGAGCTTGGGCACCTCTGTGGTTCGAATGTCCCCACCAAAGCTCGTGTTGAAATTCAGTCCCCTTCGTGAGGTCTGAAGAGGTGGGGCGTGCAGAGGTGACTTGGTCAGGAGGCGCTGCTTCTAGGAAAGGATTCTCCCGCTCATGGGTAAGTGGGTTATCTCAGGTGGGTCTGGTCCGAAAGCCGCTTTGACTGGTGAATGAGCTCTGGCTGTGTGATGATGCCTGCACCACCTGGGACTCTGCAAGGTCCCTGCAAGCAAGAGGGCCCTCACAGACACAGCTCCTCAACCCCGACTCTCCAGCCTTCAAACAGTAAGATTTATTGTCTTTATAAACTGTCCACTCTGAGATTGTCAGTTATAGCCATAGATAATGGACCGGCAGGAATCGGCCTTCATTCTGCTTGTGCTCCAGGTCCAGATCTGCCACATGGGAATGGCAGTGATGGCACTGCTTTCGGGCCATGGAGAGCAGGGTTGAGGTAGGTAGTTGGGAAGAGCCCGGAACAGGGCTGGCACACAGCAAGGGCCAGGAGTCTCTGGGTCTGGGGACTCTCCACTGCCAGCTCTAAGAGCACTGAATAGGACCGGCCATGTTCTAAACCAGCCTGAGCTGGACAGAGACCTACATGGACAGCAGATCATGCCTCAGTCTGCCTGGCTCCAAGCAAGCAGCTCTGTGTCCCACGACTGGGAGCTCTGCTCTCCAGGGATGGCCCTCCCCTCTGCATAAAAAGGAAGCAAGGGTCCCACCTGCTGTATGCAGTCCTGGCCCTTTCATTGGTAAAGTAAAGCTCTCTGCACGGTGTCTCCATTGTGTGCTCTCCTTCAACCCTGAAAGGGCAGCCTCCCCAGACCTCACCATCTGGTCCCCAGACAGTGACATCTGTAAAGCTCAACGGTCTCGGGAGATGTCGCTTGTGAAATTAATTCAGATAGGCCCACTCTGAATGCTGTCACCGGGGTGGAAGGGGCTAAAGAAGCCTGAACAAAGGTGATTCCTAACTGGCCTCCCCCACCCCAACTGACGGTAGCCTGCTTCAGTGTTTCCCTGGCTCATCTGGTCCCCACGGTCCCCAAGGACTTCGGAGTGACCCAGAGACACAAAGGGGCCCACTGAAGCTGGGGAAGGAGGAGGGGTGGGAATAAGTGACCGTCACCTTGGAAAAATGCAGGCTCATTATCTGAGGCCATTATAACCTGGCAGCCAGTGTGCAGGCCTGGGGTGGGGGTGGGGTGGGGTTGAAGGCCCTTGGGCCTGAATGCAGCACTTCAGCTTGGGGAGACGGGTGAGACATCCTTTGAAGGACCGAGTGAAACACGGAATCTGCAAGGCGGGTTTGGAAGGCCTTGGGCTTCCTGGAACTGCTCTGGGTGCCTCTTTTGAGAGAATTGTGACCGTGCTGTCTGGCCAGGGGGACATTGGGTGGAAAAGGGAGACTGGCAGAGTGCAGGAAGGAAAGCGAAACATCAGGAGGAGGAATGCAGGAGGCCTGGCAGCCTGGGAGGAAGGCAGATTTGGGGACAGCTTTGGTGGCCCAGGGTTGACTGTGGCAACCTCAGTGTCTGGAGGCGAAGGCTGGACACCACCAGGTAAATGGCGCCTTAGTGAGTCTGGGTGCAGTAGTGAGCCCTGCAGTAACCAATGATGCTTTAGGTTCTGGTTACCCAACAGCTCTGTGAGGAGTTAACTACTCCCGCAGCCTGCCTGGCTGCTCATACCTGAAGCCAGAAGCTGAGGAGAAATGGTCCTGAATCAAGAGTTGGTCCAGCTGCCTGGGGTAAGTGCTCACATAGCCCCATTGCCATTAGGGTCTCAGCTCCTGGGAAGAATGTCTGACTTTTTTTTCTAGTTAGCTTTATTTATTTTTGCTTCATGAGAAACCCAGGGCCTCATAGATGCTAGGCAAGTGCTCTGTCAATGAGCTATGCCCTAGCCCTTGTGTTTTATTTTATTTTATTTTTTATTTTTTGGTACCGGGGATCGAACTTGGGACCTTGCGCTTTCCAGGCAGGCGCCGGAACCACTGAGCTAAATCCCTGGCCCTAGCTCTTGTATTTTAAATGTTTAAGAGTATGTTCCTGCCATATACAGGCCTGGATGAACCCTGTCCCTCCTTTTAACCTCTGAAGTGAGAGAGAGAAAACCTTCAAATAAAGTAAAGAAAACCCTAAAGAGACTAGAGTCAGAGCATAACCAGCCCTTGCCTTTTGGGTGGGGAACAGTCCTCCTTGAAACAGGCCCCTGAAGGGCAGCAACTCCACATCTTGAGCCCTGGGGAGGGACACCTGCCCCTCATGTTTCCAGGGCTTCTGTAAGAGCTGATGTCCAGCTGTGTCTCCTGTAGGCCCCCAGAGGGTGCTGTAGGACTGCTTGGTCCTGCACTCGGCAGTAGTGCTGCCTGGTCCTGCCAGGTCCAGGGCCTCAGGCTGGGCATGAAATTGCCCTGCTTGGCCCCTTCCCCAGCAAAGCTAGGAAATGGGGCTTTCCTCGGACTGGCTCCTACAGGTCTTTGTCATCCCTAGCTCAGTCCTGGCATATTCCTGAACCACAGCCACTCTAGGTCACATTCCCAGTGACCATGGGGATTTTTCTTTCGGCCTTAGGTGTACATTTTTAAAAAACCTCCATTTCTGCCTGGACTTTACATCAAAAACTACAAGAGGTCCTAGAAAAACCTTGGGTCTGAACATTTTCTCCACCCAAGTTCTTGCCATGGTTCAGCCAGCCAGGGTTCAGGCCCCACAGTGTGGGGCCGAGGATGGCTTTGCAAACACCTTCATGGAGGGCCTGGGCTCAGAGGTCAGGAACACCCTTGAAGCTGCCCCATTCCTCAGTCTGGCTCCTGTCCAGTGACCTGTACCTGCTTAATCCTCTACCTCACCTCAGGCGGAGAAAAGCCTCAGAAGGGGCAGATCCACACTGGGGTCCTGGGGGACAGGTGAGTCCAGTCAGCTCCAGGAGGGGTTCTCTGGGGAGAGATGGAGGCCCTGGGTGGTAGGGAACGAGGTCTGGACTCTCCCCAGCTCGGAACTCGGAGCAACCCCCACCAGGAGCAGTGAGGCCAAGGTCATTGTTAACGAGTGTTTATTGTTAATAAAACCATGGTACATTTACAATAAGTGATAACATTAATGTATAGTTACAGTATCATACAATATTACAGCAATAAAATAACACCTATTCCTTTGTACATCCAGCTCAAGCAGCTAGGTGAAAATATTTTCCAGATTGCAAGCCCCGGGGGCTTTTCAAGGTGACAGAAGTGACACCTGAAGCGCCCAGGGCTTTTGATGAATAAATAGTTCCTGTGGTGCAGCCAGGCTACACCCAGAGCAAGCTGTCCTTGATGCTGTACCAGTGTCTCTGGTCTCCACACTGGCCAGGGGACATAGCTGAGGGGCCTCTTCTCCCAACCCTTCCCTTCCACCAAGGTCCTGTCCTTCCTGCCCCAGAGCCGCAGTTCCCAGTGAGAAGTGTGCCCGCTCTCTGGTCCTGAGGTAAAGGAACCTTGCATTTGAGAGGCTGGGCCAGGAAGGACACGGTGCTGCTGTTGCCCAAGCCCAGGGGCAGTCTGCTCCGGGCCTGAGTTGTGGAATCCACCCCTTTTACTTTGCCCCCTAACAGCAGCAGCAAAGCTGAGGCCATCAGGACCTTACACTGTGCCCCACACATCCTGGACTTGGAGCCATCAGCTGGGACAGCACACTGCAGACCCTGACTCCACAGAAAACGGAAAGACAGTAGGTCTGGGCGGCCCACACCATGCTTTTCAGAGGCACAGCCCCCCAGAGGGTAAGGCCAGGGACGTGGGGAGCCTTTCCTCTGGAAAGCAAGAACTAGCTTTGCATTTAAGGGCTGGGGCTCAGAGAGGAGACATTCCTAAGGAGCCCCAGCTGGGGCATGTAGAGCTTGCAGCAGAAGTGGAAGGGACATGTGGGGGAATCCGAGGTGGCCCTCAAGGTGCAAACTGTACCTTTTGGCCACACCCCTTTCTGGTTGCTCATATGGTGAGCTCTGGGGCAGAGGGTAGGGCACATGTGCGGATCTCAGGTAGATCCACAGCAGAGGGGGTGTCTGGGCAGGGGGAGGCAGCCCTGGGAGCCTGCCACTGCCCGTAGGTTCCAGCCAGCCACTCACACCCGGGAGGTGACGTAGACCGAGTGTACGCGCTCGGCCAGGGTGTTCTGCAGGTCCTGCAGTGGGTCCAGGCCCTGCACTTTGCTGCTGCGGCCATAGATGAGCTGCCGGAAGGCATCCTGTTCCATTAGGACCTTCATGTGCTTGAGAAAGAAGCCCTCACAAAACAGGGCCAGTTCTGGGGCATTGTGGATCTGCAGGCAAGGAGAGGAGGGGTGAGGCTGCTGCCTTGCTCAGCCCCACCTGAAACCTCCAGTCCCACCCAGAGCCTCACCCTGGCTCCAGGTCCCTGTCTGCATCTTGAGGCCACCTCCCCCTTACCTAAATGCCAGCTATAAGCATCTCCTGGGAGTGGGAACAATCCTAGGTTCAAGTCTCACCTGTACCACTGAGAATATTACTAAGTCCTGCCCATGGGCCCCATCATTTCCTCTGCCTGTGATGTCCTGAATGGCAGACATGCCTGGTGGGCTGGAAGCTGCCCTCCTAAGTGCAGGGACTGCACTGCTGGCTGCCCGCATCCAGCCCAGGTCTGGCATGCGTGCTCTCGTGGTGAAGGCTCTGGGATTGTGCTGATGTTTGGTGAACTGAGTGCCTGCTCAGGGTCAGGTACTGGCATTAGGTGCTTGGGTCACAGTCTCTGTATGGCTTCCACAGGGCTAAAGTTCTGGTACGGGAGAGGCAGGAAATCCACGAACTTGACCGGATGAGCAAAGGTGAGAGGAGACAGCACTCATGGCTGTGAAGGAGATGAAAGCTGGCAATGTGGCAGGGTGACATGGGAGGCCTGGGACCACTGGCTGGTTTCAGTACAGGGATGGTCTTAGCCAGTGCTCCGGGAGAGAGGAAAAGGGAATGGTTGTCATGTGAGTCCCAGGGCAGTGACAAGCTGGAGAGAACACAGGCTGGCACGGCGTGGTCAAGAGGAGGGGAGGGATGTGGGTGGCACCCTAGGTACCTCGCCAGCTGTGACAAAGATTGGCTTTTATTTCCAAGCAGTGGGAAAACTCTGTAGGGCTCAAGGAAGGAAGTGACATGGTCCTGGCACTTTGGAAAGAACTGTGTGGACTGCAGGTGGAGGCCAGGCCCATGCCATTGTCTGGGACAGGATGAGGGTGGCAAGGTGAGGACAGTGGAGAATGGGGGGCACGCAGATGGCTTTCAGAGAGAGGTGGCCTAGGTGCTGTCGTCTGCTGAGATGGCCAAGAGTGGGGAGAAAATCCAGTGAATACCTGAAGAACTGATGTGACCTGGCTCAGCTTCTGCCCAACTCCCAAAGCCCAGGGATGGCAGAGCAGGAATGGCTGCTAACTCCCTGGCACGCCCTCCACTGCTCTTCGATGGTCCAGCCGCTTGCATTTCCTAGCCTGGCCCCAGCTGTGAAGCAGGGTGGACAGTGGTACCCTGGCCCTCACCTTGGCATATTTGTAGGTGTTCACGGCACTCTCCACGCTGAGGGTCTGGGAGCACAGGATTTCGCAGTGCCTCTGCAGGGCATCCAGCTGGAACAAGCTGGCAGCTGACAGCAGCTGGAGAGGGGGAAGCAGGCCTTGGGTACTCACAGCCAGACCTGTGCCCCAGGCAATGGGGAACAGAAGGCTTCCGAGTGTGTACCCAGGATCCATGGGCATGACCCAGGAGGCTGGGATCCATTAGCCACCAGCCTGGTCTCAGAACTGCCCTAGCTGTGAATGAGAGGAAGGACTGCAGGGAACCATCTTCCTCTCCTCTTGCCCCTCCAAGTGCTGTGTTTCTGAGAGCGGGGCTAAGCCATGCAGAGGTCTAGGGGTGCAGGGTGAACGGGGACATGGTCACTCACCTCCAGGATGTCAGCGGTGGGGATCTCCATGGATTCTGTTCCCCCATAGTACAGATACTGCATCATCATCTGTGGTGGGGAGAGGCCCCGTGTGAGTGCCATGCCAGTCTCCACAGTACTGGCCCAGATGCTCCGCTTGGGGCCGGCTGTGCCTTCCTAACTTTGTCTCTCCACTCTGCTCAGGCTGAGATTCAAATGCTGTCTTTTCTTTTTTTTTTTTGGTACCGGGGATCGAACTTGGGTCCTTGTGCTTACGCAGCAGGCAGCGAAACCACTGAGCTAAATCCCCAGCCCTAAATGGTGTGTTTTCTGCAGAATGCTGCCACCCAGGTGCCAACCTGAGGCCTTCCCCCCCCACCCCCTGGTTTCCCTTCAATCCTCAGCCCATGTGGCTGGAAGGACAGATGTCTGGCTCAAGTCCCTCCCTCGGGCTCTGCTACTCTCAGCACATGCTGCTCACTGCTTTTAGTCTAAATTTTACACCTGGAGCTGGAAGGGAGGTCCCTGAGGGGACAACTGTGTAACCTACTCACTACCCTCAGGCTGCCACATCCTGACTCTCTGGCAGATCTGCTCTCTGGGGAAGGGAGCACAGAGCCCAGGCCCTGACCCTGAGCTCACTGGGCTGCCCGGCAGAAATGCTGGGGCTCTTGGGAATGGGGTGGAGGTGGCCCAGGAGGAAAGCTATACTGAGGTCTGCTACTGACTCTGCCATCTCACTGGAGCCTGGGGAGGTTCCCAGTTGGAAAAAGAAAAACAAATCCCTCTGGTTGGCTAAAGCAACAGCCCCACACAGTGCTGGCAGCTTGCGAGTAAACAAGGCCCCAGCCATGCAGTCGGGCTCTGTCAGGACCGGCCCTCAGGCACCAGAGGGTCTAGGAGGAAGCCAAGGTAGGGAGAGGAGACTGTTGCCTCTCCCCACAGTGGGGTTTGGCTCCCACGGCCTTCTGCAGCCCTGGCTGGAGCCTGTGACCTCATAGTGTGCTGAGAGGTTGGTATGGTGCCAGCAGGACAAAGGCACAGACCCTGCCTGCCCTGCTCCCATCATTGGGAGTAAGCAGGCAGGTGAGTCAGATCTTGGAGGATCTTCTGACAAGGGCCTGGCCAGGGGCCCTGCTCCCCTTCGGGCTTGGAAGGCAGCCTCCTGCCGTATTTAGGAAGCTGGATTTGGCAAAGTCCAGCCAGCTGGGGGATGTGGATGCATCGGTGTCCTCAGAAACCAGAGTAGGAGAACTCACTGGAGCCTTGCTAAGGCTGGGTGGGCAGCAGGCATAGGTGAGTTAATTTTGCACAACCTAGCAGCCCAGGACAGATGCAGGTCACGTGCCTCCCAAAGCAGGTAGCCTGTGGGGCTGGATGGGCTACTGCATGAAGGGCAACAGGCAGACCTAGGTGTGGAGGGACAGCAGCTTCCTCCTGCCCTGAGGGAGTCAGGAAGCTGAGGCCTTTGAGCTCTCCCTCAGAGACCTAAGGTTTGTTGACGCTGACCTTGGCAAGTCTCAAGACCTGCACGATAGCCGCTGGTCAGTCATATGTGGCTTCTGGATTAAGTGCTGTGTCAGTTATACAATAGAGACCAAAAACTTAGTATAAAATATTGCCAGTTTAGGGGGATAGGGGTGTACTGGGGATTGAACTTTGTGTGCTTGTGCTGAGCTACATCCCCAGCCTTTTTTCAGACAGGATCTCTCGAAATTGAATTGAGATCCTCCTGCCTGAGCCTCCCAGATCCTCCTAATCCCAGCTTCCTCCAGAGTGCTGGGATTATAGGCATTTGCCAACATGCCCAGTTTATATCTAATCTCTTATATTGATTACATGTTGAAATGGTAATGTTTGGGCTACTTTGGGTTAAGTATATTAAAATTTTGCCTTTTTAAATTTTAGATGTGACCACTAGGAAATTTTGAATGACAATCTGTGACTCACATTATCTTTCTATCTGACAGGACAGCTTTGAGCTCCTTGGGCCTCTCTTTCCTCCTTCCTGCCTTTCTTAGGGGCCCCTAACCCTGGATTGATGGCTTGGGGCTAACTTGTCCAAGGGAGCCCAGGAATCGGGAGTGGAGGTCCGAGGACCCATCTAGATGACAGCCACAGAACCCTGGGCTAAGGCTGTGCTCTGGGCCAGACCTCAGGGAAGGGCCTGGTGACCGTTTGCAAGGCCCACGTCATGTGCGCAGGGCTGTCAGACCTGTTGTCCGCATTTACCCTCCCACCAACCCCGAGAAGTCACTGGCTGCTAAGGGCGTAAGCAGAGCTTGCTATGTCACCTGTCCTCACATGTCCACCAATCCCCACTGTGCCCTCGGACCGGCCTCCTGGCTCTGATCACGAGTCCCATCTCACGCTCCAACTCACCTGGACTTTGCACTTCTTGGCCAGACAAGTTTCTAAAGCTGCCCTCCCCAGCAAGTTGGACCAAGGGATGAGAAAGAGGAACAGGGAGACACCCTCACTCTCCTGCCAGATCCTGGGGCCTCAGCCTGATGTGCCTCCCTGCATACCCCATTGCCACTTCAAAGGCCAGGTCACCTTTGTCACTCAGCTGAACTCAGCATCTCCTGACTGGTCCCCTGTGTGGTAGCCAGGCCCTCTTCAACCCCTTCCTCACCTTTCTAAATGGAGACATGACTGTTTACACGTCCTGGGTTTGAAACCAGGCTCTATCACTTCCCAACTATGATCTTGAGCAAGTTACTCAACCTCTCTGATTCAGCATTTAAGCCTCACAGCACAGCCCTAAGGGCAAGAAAGTGTTAGTGCTAATTAATATCTTCTATGGTGTAAAGCCTTTTGGAGCTTCCTGTGTCCCTGGATTAAAGTTCAGGCCCTTCATGCTACGGATCCTCAAAGCAGCTTCAGACTCACTTCTCCTGATTTGAACATGGTGTGGACTCTGGGACTTTGTGTTTGCCCTGCCTTCTACCTGGAGCTCCTTCCGACCTCAGCCAGCTGTCGCTGCTACAAGAAGCACACCTCATATCCCTGTGTTTGATGGAGATGCATCTTTCCTGCACTTCCAGAGCCCCTGTGCCTCCCTTGCAACTGTCCCTGTGTGTCATACTGCCGTCTCGCAGAGGGGAGGCCTGCCTCTGAATCCATACGTGGCTAAGTGCTAAGTGACTGACTGAAGGGCAAATGAGGAGAAACCAGTCATTTTAAACAGTGGCTTCTTTTTCTTCCTCGAGGCACAGTGGATTTTGTGACTTCCACCATTAGGGCACAGTCCCTCCTGGGTAAGGCAAGATCCCTGTCCCCCAAGTCTGGAGACCTGAAATCACTACTTTCCAGAGAGGAGCTCTTAGCTGGGGCTGCTTCTCCAGGCTTGCCTGCGCTTGCCCTGACTGGAGTTCCCATTACGTAACATCCCATGTTCCGCAAAGCTTAATGCCTAGGAGCTCTGAGCTTGGACCTATATGACTAGTCTGGCCAGCACCAGCCCTTAGGCAGCCCATGGAGGCTCTGATGCAGAAGACCTGAGGTGGGCTTGGGGCCTGCGTGACCAGCAAGCTCTCAGTGATGCTCATTTGCTGGTAGCTCAGTGGAATACGAGTGCCCACAGATCATGTGGGTGGCATGTGCCTGTCCTTCATGTCTTTCTGCAGGCCACCTGGATCCCTGCCTCAGTGCTTTAAGCTTAGGACCCACCATGGAAGGGCTCCCGTAGCACAGGGAAGACCTTGACCAGTGATGGCGAACCTTTTAGAGCATTCAGTAATACAAAGAGGCTGCTGTGGCATGCAGGCCATTGGTTGACCACTGTTGACCTACATACCTGACCGCTGGTGGCAAAGCACAGAGGGACACTGAGATGGAGCGGAAGATCAGGACCAAGTCACGGCTGCCCTGACCCCAAATGGACAAGGCCAAGGGTGGGCTGTGGGGGAGGGGCAT